CGAAAAGTAACACCGCTTTGAATAATCCTGGGTTTGGCTAAAAGTTAACTTTAAATTCCGGAAAATAAATGTGAATTCAGGCATGACATTTTATCCAGAAGTGCGAACAATTTGAGACAGATTCTAAAACTATGTATGTAGAGTAGGCTGAAAATTTGAGCAGGAATGTACAACAGTAAATTGCAAAAAAATGCAACAAAATGAAATTGAAATTACAAAATTGTATGCAGTAAATTGTTAGGAGGTCTCACATGTGTCATATTTGACATTATCGATTCTGCGAGTCATTTAATTCAGACAAAATTTTCTTCGTTTTCTAATTTACACATCTACATATGTAAATGTTCCTTGTGAATTTTCCCGTAACGTTGCAAGGTTTACGAAAAATCGCATGAAATTTTGGCTAGAAACTACCAGCCGCGTCAGGCAAGCGGTGCATGTAAATTCTACCCAATCAATTTTATGTATGTATTAGTTTACCGAGTTTTCCAACCACGTTAATTTTGTGGCTAATCAAAAATTATATGTATGCAACAATAATTGGTCAGATATTTCTTAAAATTTTGCGAAGTTTACAAGGTGCTGATTTTAATTGATTCGGTCTTCTCACGCAGTATTGAAACTTAGGGCGAACTAAATGCAAAACTATGCATGCTACACAGCCTGCACGTGCAGTGTAGCTTTGTAAACTGCGTAAGTTAAACAAAAGTGTTAGTTGTGATTTCATCTCGATAACGAATGTGATATGTATGTACAGGGAAATGGAATTGTTCGCGTGATAAATACATACGTACAAATGTGTAAACTTTGTAAGGTTCGGTTCACCAATTTACACTTGGGGGACGTTGGTAAACTTCTCAACGCAAAAAGGGGTGGGTGGGTGCCCCAAAAAAAACAAAAATTAAGTTTACACACCTCCCATTACACACTTATATTTAAAAATCAAAATTTACCTCCATCTTATCTTATTAAATGTGCATTTCGCATTTAGCCTTATTTTTCAATATTTTATGTTACAACACATTTACCAGATTTCACTATGAGCCCAATACGAAAACCATGAGTAAAGACTTCTGAGCGCAGAGTAAAATTAACTGGTGTGCATAAAATGTATCTATGTACAGAAAAATTAATTGGCATTCTCGCAATATTACAGGGCCAATTTGGAGACGGTATCGTGTTAGCGAAGCATCCATTGTCCATCGGTTGGTTGGATTACATAAAAGTAAGCTATTTTCTATCGATTAAAAACCACTTCAGCCACAACTCGGTACTTTCATATGTGTGCATCCATGCACTTAATCTACCCACATCTTGTCAAAGCTAAATAGATTCTTACAAATTACATAATTTTGCAACATCTTTACAATTTCGTAAATTATGCGGGATTATCGCAACTCAAACCCCTTCTCCTAGACGTGTCTCAGTTCCACGAGACAGTATTTCATTACCTCGTTTCGAGAAAATATAAAAATTACCAAAATCCGATCTAAACTTGATTTTCTGTGAGATTTTAACCAGAGTTTACGAGGTTTTCACTGCTTTATGTGGGCGTGGCCGGCGCGAATGAGGTGTGAGGGCAAACCACGTGCATATGCATACATTGTACTATTGCACTATTATATTCCCAGGCAGAAGTAGCTTGCTTATATCCAACATCAAAAATTACGCTTTGAAATTTCGAATTTTTCTGAAGGTCACCAAATTTTAAAAAACTTAAAAGGCCCAAAATCAAACTTTATATGATTAAGAAACTACTTAGGATCAATAAAAGGCAAAAACTTTTAAAAAATGGATTTTTAGTGATTTTTTAAACTAGGGAAACCCTGGGTTTCACCCTTTTTCGCTCAAATCAGTGGGTGTAACGGGCAGAAATGGGGTTGCACGGTAAAATCCTGCCACACTCATGAGGCACGGACCTAGTCCGACCACATATCCAAAGGACACCCAAATCCGTGACGCCCACAGAAGAAACCATCGCCCGAAGCGTTTGACCCCATATTTAAATTGTGCCCAAAATGACGCTTCGAACTTTATACATGAAACCAAATTCATTTCCGGTTATAATTGGGGACCGAGTTTATGAAAATTAGAATGCGTATACATTTAGAGTTCCCAGCGTTGAAAAAAAGTTGGAAAATTTCTCACACCAAATTTCGGATGACCTACTTCATCACCAAAATTGGGATATCGTGTGGTATTCTATGCACATATATATGCATGTTATATTGTATTCAGAAGCATATTATCTTATGTTTAATGCGGAGCTTTTGCATGTAAATTTTCTAAACCTGGCAAATTTTCAGAAACGGAACAATCCTCATTCCCCACTCACAAAATTTATGTATCCTACCTAGAAAAAAATACATATCGATGCATGCTTTATTTACTAAATGTAACGACGACAGCGTCAGCATGCCATCATTTATCCACTTTTTACCTGTTTGAATAATTCAAAAATATGATTCTTCTCACAATCAAGTTTAGTTTTCCATTTGCACGTTTATGAATAAATCTTGATTGAATGATTATTTTTGCAGGTCACGGCGGACGACCATTTATCGTATTTTTGTAGTTGTCTTTTCACCGCCTTGAAATCTGTGGTAAGCTTGCAATGAATATTTTTTACTAGAATTTACATTAATAATTTTGCGAAATTATGATATGTATGTATATACACAGTGGTCCACGGATCCGAGTGTTTTTTTTATGTCCCCCAAGCCGGTTTTATAAACCAGTCGCTTTTCTATCCTAATATGTTAATGTCCCCCTATGTCCCCACGGCTTCTGTGGCCAATGCACGTACATTAAAGGTCAATTGATTTTGGGTTATATATATATATATTTGGCTTTTCGGGAAATTCGTCTCGGTTAGATTTGAGGAGATTAAAATATTACGTATTTACATATTTTGTTTGGCAATGACAAATTTTTCTTCGTCACATTTCCTGTAACATATGTTCTGTGGATCGAATACTTTTGCGTTATTAACCCCTCTCGAGATAGTTAGAGGGTTCTGAATAATTAGGAGTTTTAAATAATTTTCGGAACAGTTTGCTGACTCTATTTGTCCTGATGATACCATAATTTTGGAGGGCTTTTGGCCTCCCGGATTTAGTTTTTGGCAAAAGATCAGTTTACGCTCGGTAATCCCTTCAATAAAATTTCAATTGTCCTTAAAAAATCCAGTAAAATATCAGTAACGAATTTCCAGATAGGTAGTCTACTTCTCAGGGGCAACATCCAATTCAATTTATTTTATTTTTTTCCGCGACCAGAAATGCATGAAAATATCTTTTGCATATCTCAAAAACACTCGATTTGCTGAAACGTGTGATGAAATGGCTCTCTCGTTCCAAGAAAATACAAGATTTAACAGGATAAAATCGAAATTAGAATTTTTTGCGAATTTTTAACACAAGTTTTCGTTTTTTCACGTCTGAGTGGGAGTGGTTGGGGTCATTGGATCAGAATAAGTCGGGGGTTAGGGAGGTCTACTTTAGCGACTAAGTTGTTAACTTCTATCAATAAGAAATTTATTTTTATGAATATTTTAAACGAGGGAAAACTGAGATTTTCCGTTTTTTTGGTCAAACCGGGGGGTGTGCCAGGTTCAAATGACCTCATATGACCAAACCCTCCTACACGGTTCGAATACCACATTAGTACTACAACATATCCAAAGAGCATCCAGATCTGTCTATCCCACGGTCAATGTCATCATGCGATATGTCCCTTTGAATTACGAGATGCGACGTCAAAGCACGCTTAGGTCCATCCACAGAATGCAGAGGTCATTTCCGGTCATAAATTACTAAAGCCATATTCATATATAAACCCAACAAGTATGTAGGGAAGCCCACGTTGAAAAAAAAGTAGAAAAATCTTTACACATAATTTCGAACCACATACTTCATGACAAAAAACAGGGTGTCAGTAGAAAATTGCGTGAATTTAGAGCGAATTATGATATTATGTATAAGATAGCAGTATTATTTTTATGGAAAACCTTCAAGCCATCAAGTTTCTTGACATTTCTTTACCTTTGGCTATCTTAGAATGAATTGATATCGCCCGGATCCCTGAGGTCACACAAATCAAGCTCAAAGGTCAAAATATCGTTCCCTTTGACACACCAAGAGTCATATATTTTTGAGTAGCTGCTGGACTTAAGTATGGTTTATGCTTAACGTCCTCGTTACATAACGTCGCCATAGCGTTAGCGTTCCTTCCTTCATAACGGGTTTACACTTTCTGTAGTTTTTACGATCGCTTTCTCTCAACGCTAGTTTTAGCTATCGGTCATCGAAGGGAAAGTAAAAACCCGTAAAAAATCATAGCCATTTCATAATCTCACAAAAACAATTATGCCAATTAAACAAAAACAAAAAAACAAAAAGAATCATCTTCAGTCACGAGATTGGACACGGTACTGTTTGTTTAGAGATAGTTTCATTACCAAAAGTATTTAACCAACTCATTACTCAATTAAATATAAACTACTATTACCTTTCATCCGGGTCAACAATGTCACGGATGAAACGCATTGCTCCTTCATGCCGGAAGAAGGGACGTGGCTTGTCCTCTTTTCCACTTGGATTGCGTAATTTTCGCAGGAATCCGCTGAATTGGCTGCGTAATTTTGTCCACAGTTGTTGACAATCGAACTCTGAAAAATTGCCTTTTTAGAGTTAATACAAGTGAGAATATAGACTCTGCAGTAAAACAAACTGACCTGTCTTTCCTAGTAGCTTTCCAATTTCCTCCCACATCACCGCACGAGTGTTTCTATTTTTGTATGCAGGATCCTTCTTGTCGTACAGTGATGGACGTTGCTGAACTAGAAGAATTAATTTTTCTTCCAGATCCAGTGGAGATTTGGGCGCAGATATCACTTTTGTAGTCATTTTGTGAAATTTTGAAATCGCAAATGGAAATATTTATAAAATTGTAATGGTTTCTAAAAATTTCCTTGCTCCTTCATCCGTGTAAAAGTTGAACTCTGTTCAACTTTCATGGTGATCGTGAAGGTGCCGTGAAATGAAGGAGGAAACAATGCATAAACCCGCATGGCGAATTGCATAGCGACCGCTATGGCGACGCGAATGTAACGAGGACGGGAACTAAAAACCCGTCGGTTATCAATTCTCTAAGAGATCGCTACAATTAATCAGAAAGCATAAACGCACCTTTAGGAATACAAATTCGTGTCACACTTTGGGTCTGCGGTCAACCACTGACCTCCCAAGGGAGCTTGAAAGGTAAATAATTTACGAAAATGTTCATCCGTTCAATTCCGCCGAATTTTGTATATGTTGTAGATCTTTGCGACTAGAATTGTTTCTAGATTTTCTACTATGCCATGAATTAAAATTAATTTATGAGAAATAATGTTCATATTATTATTTCAGATTTGTCTCTACGTCTTGGGTGGTAATCAACTGATCTCGTAAGAATTGGGTAATCTACAATTTCAATGTACTTTCAAACTTGAGTTGGCTTCAGTAATATGTATGTGCATACATATATTTACACACTTTCCAATTTTCCTTTGCATGGTTATGACCGCCATAAAAATTATTAATTTGTCTAAAAAGGATGAAATGGAAATTGAAAACTGTATTAAATTCATTCCAACTGACAAATATACATAACCCCGTGGTTGTAATTAGAATTAGGTCATAAAAACTTGTATGCAAATTTCTGGTTCTATAGGGTTATCGAGATAGGTTTGAGTTTTAAATAATTTTTCGGAACAGTTTGCTAACCCTATTTGCTCGGATTAGTCGATATCGTTGATTTAGAAACGGTTTCGAAGCGGTTTTGGCTTACAAGTTTTAGCTTTTTGGCAAAAGATCAGTTTTCGCTCGGTAATCCCTACAATAAAATTTCAATTGTCCTTAAAAGCCAACAAAATATCAGTAACGAATTTCCAGATAGTTAGTCTACTTCTCAGGGGCAACATCCAATTAATTTAATTTTTTTTTCCGCGAGCAGAAATTCCTGCGAATATTTTGTGCTTATCTAAAAAAAACTCGATTTGCTTAAAATAATGATAAAATGGCTCAGAAAATACAAAATTTGACAGGATCAGACCGAAATTAGAATTTTTTGAGAATTTTGAACTGAAGTTTTCGTTACTTCATACCTGAGTGGGTGTGGTTGGGGTCATGGGAAAAAAATAAGTAGGGGGTTAGGGAGGTCTACATCAATTACACCATTGTCAATTTCTATCAATAAGAAATTTATTTTTATGAATATTTTAAACGAGGGAAAACTGAGATTTTCCGTTTTTTTGGTCAAACCGGGGGTGTGCCTGGTTCAAATGACCTCATATGGCCAAACCCTTCTGCACGGTTCAAGTACTACCTTAGTTCTACAACATATCCAAAGGGCATCCAGATCTGTCAATCCCACGGTGAATGTCATCATGCGAAGTGTCCCCTTGAATTACGAGATGCGACCTCAAAGCACGCTTAGGTCCATCCACGTAATGCAGAGGTCATTTCCGGTTTAAAATTAGTAACGCCTTATTCAAATATAAACTCTACAAGTATTTAGGGAAGCCCACGTTGAAAAGAATTTGGAAAAATCTTTACACATAATTTCGAACCATGTATTTCATGACAAAAAACCGAGTGTCAAGCGAAATTTTGGGCGAATTACGATATTTTTATAAGATACAAGTATTGCTTTTTTTTTAAAACCTTCCTGCCATCAAATTTCTTGACGTTTCTTTACATTAGTAATGTTAGTATTCGTGTATCACTTACTTCTAAGTCGAATTGAGCCCGACCTTATTTTGGGGTCAAGGTAAAGGTCATCGTGCCGCATAAATAGGGTGTGTTTAAAAGGGATAGGTAGCGAGATTCAGAATATGTACATATTTATATTTTGTGAGACGTTTGACCACCACCACACTTCGTGGGTATAATTTGTAGTGAAAACCTGTTTCCGGGAATTTTCGTAATTTTTGGAAAATTTTCCAACATCTGGGATTCCAACCCAAAAATTAAATTAAATTAAAATTCCAACCAATTTATGAAAAATAGTGTGCAAATTATTATCTTGTCTAAAAACGATGGCATGAAATCGAAACATACATATATGTACTGATTTGATTGCCGTTAAAATACAAAATAATCTCGAAAGTTCTTTTAAATGATAACATAGATTAATTACTAATCAAATTGTCCTGTCCAATTAATTTTAGACGATTAATATTTTGCATCTTTTAAATTACATCAATTTCAATCACATTTTTCCAGGTTTATTTGACCCGGAAACGCCGGACGATGGGCAATTTCATATCGCATGTCTTCGCACCCCAATTGTACTACTGTTACCATTACGATGTAAGTATGGATAATTTACCATCACGTTTCATTACTTTATGTTTCCCTAATTACATAATACGAGTTATGTATTAATTGTATTTATTAATGTATTAATTGGGGTGCTCAAACTGCTCAGAAATAATTAGTAGTTGTAGAAAATTAAGATCTTAAACTTCTACAACTACTAATTATTTCTGAGCAGTTTGAGCACCCCAATTAATACATTTCATGCTATAGAAATATTTGATTAGCCTCCCGTCTACTCTGCTAACGCCTTTGAAGAAATTGGGGACCTTTGCTTGGGGTACCTCTTCCCAATGGGTCTGATTCTCTCTCTGTGCGGACGGGAGCCACAGTATGCCCTCTACTTGGGGATATTTCTCGCCTTCTGCCTCACTCTCCGGGGGATTGGTCGTATGTCTAATCCGACATATGAAATTTTTTTTCAAATTTGGGAGAGAGCCGTCGCCGACCCGGAATTCCAGAACATTGACGCACTTCGCCGGTATGACTTTGCGTTCTGGGGTTGGCCGGTCGGATTTCGATCTTTTAGAGTTGCTATTGAACATGGAGTTAATAATTGGCTCGGCTCCATAATTGGTTGGCCTATTGCACACTCGGTTGGGATCTACTGCTTGTATCCCGGGGTCATTATGAGCTATTGGAACCAATGCGTTTTGCGAGTGAGTGGTATTTTCAATTTTTATGTACTAACAATGCGGTTGTGTGAAATGCAGGCTAGAATTATGTGGTTCAAGTAAATAAAATCAACGCTAACTGAGGCATTTTGTGTGATGGTTGATAATTGTCGAAAAAGTTGAGGTCAATGTTGAAAAAATGGGAGATTTTAATCATACACTATACTTCAATTCTATTCTCCTCGTCAATTTTCAGTCCGATTTTTGACTCTTATTCGAGCAAAAAAATAGTGGCAAAAACGAATCTTAAAATAATTACTGAGAGTCAGGCACGTTGGTGAAAACGTTTTTGAGGTTGAATAACCCCGGAACGGTTTGTCGTAGCGGGTCAAAATTTTGAACAGAGGAGCATATTATCCTCAGGTAGGTGTGTGCAAAAATTCAACTCTCTACTTTCAAAACTGCCTCCCCCACAGCCCCCAGAAGTTGAGTAACTAATTTCAACTCTTTCCAAACTCCGTCAAAAAAATCGTTCTCCACAGAAATTTTTTTGTTTTCAAGTATCTGAACCCAAAGAAGTCCATTTGACTTACATCGAGGGATTGTACAGATATTTCACTATTCGAAGTGATTTTTATCTCCAATATAGGTTCAAGGTCATTTGCATAATCTTCGGTCAACTTTGCCATCTTCTAAGACGCTCCGTCATGATGAAAAATCACATTAATTATTTTTTACCGTGCAATTTAGCAAAATACTATTCTAAAACTGGTTTCAATACACGGTCCATACAATACTTTGCAGATACTTTCACTTTTTGGGGGACTTTGGTAAGTGGGACGACACCACGACCCGACATAAACTGTTTAAAAAAGTTCTCCTTACAAAGAAGCACCAACTTGCGTGAATTGTTTTCGGCATTTGTCGTGTAGTAAGCTCTTCGAACCTAATTAGTAACTTGTAGAGAAATTAGTGCTTCGTGAAATGTCACCAATAACTCACTCTGATTTCTTCACAGAAAATTCGAAAAATTTTTTTGTAAACACGGGCGCGATTTTTTCCCTGCTTTTCGGTCAGCTGATGCACACGACTATTCCGACGAAGTAGTTTCTTCAAAATGTTAATTTCTCTTTTCACTGAACGCTTAGACACCCCAACCTTACGGGAAATTTCCTTTTGGGTCGGTGGATTGTCTTTTGAGGTCAAGAGGTCACTTTTCCTATGCTCCGTCGGAATTAACACTTTCTTGCCTTCTTTCAGGAGGTGGTGGTTGCCCTCTACTCAAAATTTATCGCTTTTCACCTATATTTTTCAATACCTTATTGATTCTAGATTTCGAAACCGTTTTCCATTCACTTTTAACATGTTTTGTTATTTGGCTGTACGACGACTTAAGTTTGCAAAGAGTTTTTATGACTGTCTCACCTTCTGGGGGCTGTGGGGGAGGCATTTTTGAAAGTAGAGAGTTGAATTTTTGCACACAACTATCTGAGGATAACATGCTCCTCTGTTCAAAATTTTGACCGGCTGCGACAAACCGTTCCGGGGTTATTCAACCTCAAAAACGTTTTCACCAACGTGCCTGACTCTCAGTATTATGCAATTATTAGTCATTTTTCGATATAATGTTCGATATTGTGTAAAATATTTTTTGCTCAAATTAATACCTGCAGTTTGTTGCACTTTCTTTTTACCAGAGAACATAAATACATGCATATGCACATACATACATTCGTATATTGAATAAATACAGCTATGATAAAATTGAAAGTACGACAAAATACTGGTATTAATTTGAGAAAAAAATATTTTAGAGCGATTAATGTTCGTGTGAAAAAGAAGAAATTATAAACCGTAGATATAAAGCAATTTTTGCTATGAAAAATCTAAAATCAGTTTTCAAGCTTGATGAAACCGTATTTTAGCCAAAATCTTATTAATACACATTTACATATGAAATTTTATTCGGTTCGTGTAAAACGAGTTTTGGAGAAAACCGAAGACCAGTTTTACAAATATGTAAAAAGAACAGCATGTATGTGAGTGAGAAACCCGACCGAAAATTGATAAGAGGGGAATACAATAAGATAGAATGTTAGTGGAATTTGCATCTTCCACCTGACAAAAAAAGTTACCCGTTTGTTCAACTTCGACTTCAAATATTTCCACATTTCACAACCATTTCACAAGACGTTATTTATGTGAGCCACATAATTCCGAATTTGCAATCAAATCGGAGTATCGCACTTCGCCTCATCGCATTCTAAGTTATCCTTTGTTTTATATCGCGTTCATTTAAATTTTAAAAGTTCCCACATACTTAATTTTTGAAACCGTACTTATGCACAAAATCAATGCTACATAAATATTTATGCACAATTTTTATTTTGATCTCGTAGCGTCGGAGGGCCCGGCTTGTCATGGAGGAAGGTGGAATGAGGAACAAAATTATGTCTTCCGATGGATGTGAGATCGACACGATATTTTTGGATCGTAGGGGGTAATACACACTAAATTAATTCAAATTTTTCAAAATTTAAGATTTTTATCCCGACAAGGTACGAAATTGGGAATTTTTTGAACGGTTCAAAGACTTTCATCATTTTCTATATCTTTTCGATAACACTTATGCTATATTATCTTTATGTAATAAGGATTCTAAAATATTTTAAACGAGGCTGTGTAATTAATTAGCATAATTACTCAATTTCCATATGACTGATTAGTTTGTGTCCGATTAATATACGCAGGGTCAAGAAAACCCGGGTCGGCAGATTTTTAGTCCTCTGCCTAGAAGGGAACCAATCGTATTATGAGTGGGGGATGAACAGAACCGCCATCCAAGCAGGATACTCAGTTCTTGGGTTCAACAGACCCGGATTCGGGGAGTCCACTGTACTTTTTCCAAGTTTTAAAATATCATAAATTTACCTTTATTAAATATGTATTTGAATTTCTTCAGGGGCACCCCTTTCCGAAGTTTGAGTTGAATGCAGCTGAAGCCATAATGCAATATTGTCAGGAGGTACTGGGGTTTGATGATAACCACATCATCATCTACGCCTGGTCGATCGGGGGATTTCCCGGCTCTTATCTTTCAGGACAATACCCCAACATCCGGGGTTTGGTGGGGCATTTTCCTTACTTTTAACGATTTGATTTTTTGTTGTAAATGCGATAATAATTTTTTGGGCAAATAATTCCTTACAGATAATTGATGGAAGTTTCGAAGACGTTTTGCCTGTGGTACTAAACTTTGTACCCAGATGTCTGTCCATTTTGGGTTAGTTTTATATCATGATCATCATAAACTTGTAAAATACTTATCAATTTCCATTTTTATTGAATTAATCATACAACGATTCATATTTATTTATGAACAAAAAATCTTCAAATAATATTTTCATACGGTGGTAGAACCTTTCCTAATTTTCTGATAATTAGTTTTAAATTCCAAGAGAAATTCGGAAATAAGCATACATTTTTTGGCAAGCTAAAAATTCGCCGTAAGTAAATTGTTGCATTGGGAAATTTCCAAAAGTGCCTTAAATTGTAAGGCTACGAATTATGTCTTTAGGGTTTTTAATTTACAAAAAATGTAAAAAAAAATGTTCCAAATTTTTCCTATTATCATTTCAAAAGATTTATTAAGGGATAAATCCTCTTTATAAAATCGTTTTGTCCTCTCTCATTAATAATTAAAGTTCCTCAAGTATGTAGTGGGGTAGACGTAATTATAAATTGGGCCACGTTGGTCACAATCACACCTAGCGAGGTTTCAGATCCTCAGTTTCTTAAATTAAAACCACGTTATATATAGGAATTAAAATCGAGTATTTTCAATTCGCTGTTAAATTCGATAGGTAATTTTTACTTGAGACACCCCGTCGACTGTGTGAGAGAATTTAAATGTCGAAAAAATTGGTCAAAATTTTGATAGGAAAACATCATTTCGAAGGTTTTATCCCTTGGTTGCATGCTGTGTAACGGTTTATTCTAGAAATCGAATTCGTATGTGTTTATTTGGTCAGCCTTTGTTAAAATTAGACTGACTTTCAAGCAAGAGAAATTTGCATTCGGAAACTTGCAGTATTTTAGTTGTACCCTGTTTAAAATGAATTTATGTTTTTTGTGCTTAGTTCGAATTATGATCCGAAGTCAATTTGACTTGCGGAGCAGCCTTGAGCTTGTACGGTATCATAGACCGATCCGGATTTTCCGACGAACGCGTGATGCCATTATGGCCCATCCACCGGGGGAAATTGCCACCAATCGGGCAAACATGTTACTAGCGGACGTACTCCTACAAAGACATCCCATTCTGATGAACAATGCACTTGCCTTTGCGGCACTTACGGAGTGGTTGAGCGTCCCACACATTCGAGGTAGCACATCAATATTGCGAAAATTTTATTTTTACAATACAGTCATGGTCACACATTTTGTATAAAACTCAAAACCAGATAATATGTGTCAAACTTAATGGCCAATTCACAAAATTTGTTACAATGAAATACGAAAATCGGGTTAAAAATATTTCCACTTTTACTTCTTCGATGAATGGACCTAAGCTACGTGCGACCTCAAGTTGTTTCTTGTTAGATTTTTAAACTTTGCTGCGTAATATGACCCCCGCCAAGATTCCTGATTTTATATGTACATTTGTATGTACGTACATGTTTGAACCAGATTCCAATACGGGAAGATTTTGAAAACCGGTTTTCGATCTTCCCAAATTTTTTAGTGTGGTATAATTGAAACAAAATGGAGGCAGTAATTTGAGGAAAAAATATTTCATAAGAGTAAATTTTGTATGAAAAAGAAGGTGTGATAAATTGTAGCTCAAAATCAATTTTTATTATAAGACATCGAAACGACGCAGTATTCAACTTTGATGAAACCGCATTTTTGCAAAAAATTACTTTCGATTAAATTTATAACCGGTTTTACAAAACTTGGTTCTGGTTGCCAAAATGTTACAGAATTATGCGTAATTTGGTACGCAACGGAATATTTCTGAAAGCTGACTATTAGATAATTAATATTGATTAAAAACTATCAATAAATCAACCAATTAATCAAATGGTAATAGCCGTTATGGGTATAAATATATCGTGTCGCGGACACACGCGAGTACCGACATAAATACTTAAAGATTTCAGAAACCCTGTCTCCGGATATAGAAAAATATAGAAAAGGTGAAATTTTTATACATTTTTTTTTAATTCACAGGACCAGCCGCAATTCGGGCAATGGAACTTGAGCAGCTCAACATTCCTGCTGATCCCACCAATCTCACCAACCAAGCCAAGGCAAATCTGATCATAAGATTAGTAAGTTTCATTACATATTTGATGCTAAATTCGGTCAAAATTTTGTAAATTTACTGCTTTTTGTTTTTGGTAGGCTGAGAGAATTCTGACAGATTTAGATGCAACCCATAATACCCTCATCCCGGTCGACCTCTTTCTCCGCCCCTGGACTGCATGAAATTAGTAATGAGTAGTAAAGCAAATTTCAAACCGATAGAGTTTCCCCATGCAAATTTATTTATTGGTAACTAAATTAGGTCCAAATTAAAAGTCGAAATTTATTTGACATATTTGAGCAAGTAATTTAGATAGAAACCAGGGTCTAAATCTCAGATGCACATGGGATCATTTTTATTTTTTCGCCCAAAAAATATGCAATATTTTTTTCAAGGTTTTTTCAATATCCAAGGTTTTTTTTAGTTTTTCAAAGTACGTAAGTTGAGACGAATCCCTCAATATTCAATAGTTTCCAGCCAAAACCTCGCATTTTTTGCATTCTAGAACTTCTCAAATGCGAAAACATTTTTCTCAGTTTCAAAGTTTACCGGAGTTTTTTTGGAGATTGAGAAACAATTTAACAAAATAGTCTGGCCATTAAAATTTCGAGGAAATTGAATTTCACTCAATAGTGTAACGCCTTCGGAAGAAACACTTTCTCAAAACTTATAGTTTACGGTAAAATTCGAGTTGTTTAAGTTTAATAAGAGATTTCTAGAAGTGCAATGTAATATATCTCCTCTTTCTAATTTTCTGAGAACCACCAGACCACACCACCACCTTGCCAATTACTAATTTTGAATAGAGAAAAGGTTGCAACTACAACAATTATCTAACCAACCAATTCAACAATGCTTCATTGTTGTCTGCGTCGTTCGGTGGTCTGTTTCTCATTGTCTTCTTAAACGCACTGTCTGCATCCACCTCTTATTATGTAATTTATAAATTACTCGATCGACCAACTCAACCTATCCAATGACGAGCCGTGGACCGATTCTGCCTACTCAAACGTATTGGGCGATCCAAATTTTTGAAGGGATTTTGCTTGACCGTCGTCTTCCTTGTTTAGTGCGCCAATGGTCACCATTAACTGTTATTGGTCCTGCGGATGGTCTCCGTGTATTTGCAAATATCTATAATTAACACATGATTGAATGACTTGTTCATTCAAATAAACGCAATTAATGACGCCTTGTACACCGACTCCACCTCATCGTCTGTAAATATTAGTTCGAATTCTGCTGCCAAGTCTTTTTTCGCCCGTTCCAGTTTGTTGTGATCCCCCGCAGTCTCCGTGACCTGCTCCTTTCGTCATTCGTCGACTGTTGGCCTTGGATAATTGTTATTTGTCTCATCCTACCGCTACATGGACTTGCAAATCCCACAAATCGACACAAGATTGAAAGACTCGATCGACCAACTCAACCTATCCAATGACGAGCCGTGGACCGATTCTGCCTACCCAAACGTATTGGGCGATCCAAATTTTTGAAGGGATTTTGCTTGACCGTCGTCTTCCTTGTTTAGTGCGCCAATGGTCACCAGTAACTGTTATCGGTCCTGCGGGTGGTGTCCGTGTTCTTGAAAATATCTACAATTAACACATGATTGAATGACTTGTTCATTGAAATAAACTTAATTAATGACGCCTTGTGTACCGACTCCACCTCATCGTCTGTAAATATTAGTTCGAATTCTGCTGCCAAGTCTTTTTTCGCCCGTTCCAGTTTGTTGTGATCCCCCGCAGTCTCCGTGACCTGCTCCTTTCGTCATTCGTCGACTGTTGGCCTTGGCTAATTGTTATTTGTCTCATCCTACCGCTACATGGACTTGCAAATCCCACAAATCGACACAAGATTGAAAGACTCGATCGACCAACTCAACCTATCTAATGACGAGCCGTGGACCGATTCTGCCTACTCAAACGTATTGGGCGATCCAAATTTTTGAAGGGATTTTGCTTGACCGTCGTCTTCCTTATTTAGTGCGCCAATGGTCACCAGTAACTGTTATTGGTCCTGTGGGTGGTCTCGTGTGCTTGAAAATATCTATGCTTAACACATGATTGAATGACTTGTTCATTCAAATAAACTTAATTAATGACGCCTTGTACACCGACTCCACCTCATCGTCTGTAAATATTAGTTCGAATTCTGCTGCCAAGTCTTTTTTCGCTCGTTCCAGTTTGTTGTGATCCCCCGCAGTCTCCGTCACCTGCTCCTTTCGTCATTCGTCGACTGTTGGCCTTGGATAATTGTCATTTGTCACATGCTACCCCTACTTGTACTTGCAAATCCCACAAATGGACACAAGATTGAAAGACTCGATCGACCAACTCAACCTATCCAATGACGAGCCGTGGACCGATTCTGCCTACTCAAACGTATTGGGCGATCCAAATTTTTGAAGGGATTTTGCTTGACCGTCGTCTTCCTTGTTTAGTGCGCCAATGGTCACCATTAACTGTTATTGGTCCTGCGGATGGTCTCAGTGTGTTTGCAAATATCTATAATTAACACATGATTGAATGACTTGTTCAATCAAATAAACTTAATTAATGACGCCTTGTACACCGACTCCGCCTCATCGTCTGTAAATATTAGTTCGAATTCTGCTGCCAAGTCTTTTTTCGCCCGTTCCAGTTTGTTGTGATCCCACGCAGAATACCTTGCAGTAAGCAATCCTGACACCGCGTGTAGCATCGAGCTTAGGAAGAGTCGAAATTATGTTAAAATTATGTGTCAATTTTCCACCCTTTTTTTCCACTATTGGTACCAAACTGTGTCGAAACTATACACGTTTCTCGGCTTATTCTGCACCTGTGATGCAAAATGTAATCCAAATTCTGCCCACTTTGTTCGTTTATTCTGCACCTTTGGTGCAAAGTTATATCCAAATCATTAATAATGATTCATTAGTCCAGGGTGAGCTATTTCTAACGTTACTACGGTTTATTAGCTCACCCTGCGTAGCACGGGAGCTATTGAATTCCTCTTGTCCGTCCGTCCGTCCGTCTGTCCGTCCGTCCGTGTGTTCACGAGTTTTTTGCATCAATTGATGCTAATTAAAAATCCCCTTGTCCATTATTGAGCATCGTAATCGCACCATTGGTATCGAAGAATCCGTGACGCAATTGGTGCCAATTAATACAGAACATCGATAGTGAAAAGACTACAATTTTTGGAATTACTAGCACCTTTGGGGTCGAATATTCGGTTATCGAAAATAATGCGAAATAACTGGTATAATCTATGCAAAATGCACCAAAAGTGCAGAAGAACTGGAAGAAATAATTACACAATCTTGATCGATCAGTATGCAAATGGTGCAAATTAGTTGGGAAAATTTATCGACGTAGGACTACAATTTTGGGATAATTAAAACCGTTAGTATCGAACAATCGGTTGTCCAAAATGATACGAAACAATTGGGAGAATCGGTGCAAAATGCGCCAACAGTGAAGAATAATTGGAAGAAATAATCACAAAAATTTGACATCACGATTTAATTGGTTCGTGCCAAAAGTCCAAATTTTGTCAAAAGTAAATATGTATTTTCTCGCGTTATCCTACACCATTGGTGCAAAATTATATGCTTACAATATATCTATTTTCACGTATTATTATGCACCAAAGGTGCAAAATTTTATAACATTTATCCACTTATTTTGTCGGCTTATTCTGCACCTTTGGTGCAAAATTATGTCAAATCATTATTGCAGGGTGAGCTACTTCTAGCATGAGCTACTTCTAGCATGAGAGCTATTGAATTCCTCTTGTCCGTCTGTCTGTCTGTCTGTCTGTCCGTCTGTTAACGAGTTTTTTGCATCAATTGATGCTATTTAAAAATCCCCTTGACCATTATTGGATACGTTAGGCGCACCATTGGTATTGGACAAACCGAATCGAATTTTTTTATAAATTAATAGCACCCTTGATATCTAACAATCGGTAACACAAAATGATGCGAAATAATTGGGAGAAGAGATGCAAAACGCACCAATAGTGCAAAATTTCCGGGAGAAATGGTCATACAATTTTGACAAAGTTTGCAAAATTATGTATCCCGGATGGTCGCCAATGCTGCAGTAATGGTGCAACGGCTAGCCGTTTTTGTTGCACCATGGGTGCAAGAATATATGCGAGTTATGATCTATTTTGCCGGCTTATTCCCCACCTTCGGTGCAAAGTTTTGTCTAATCATCATGTCAGGGTGAGCTACTTCTAACGTTACTACGGTTTATTTTTGTTGAATATATTTTTATACGCACATTCAATTATACATAAATATGTGTACATATGTACATATAAATACATTCGTATAGAAATTGATAGTAATTAAAAAATTGAAATCAGAGACACGTTTTAGCAAACTATTTAAAGGAGTATGTAATCTGTGAAACGATATTTAATTATCAGTATTTTTCGATTATTATGCATCACTGATTATTCGTTTGAAGGCCTTTGTGTGAGTGAAAAATCCGACTGAAAATGGATTAAAAGGGATAAAATATATAGAGTGGAAGGGAAATTTGCATCATCCTCCTGATAAAAGTCACATATTTCTTTATCTCGACTTAAAGTATGTATTGGCACAATTCTGAATCAAAACACAAACTGTAGCGTTCCGTTAATTCATGTGGACTACACAATTCCGAAATTTCAATCAAATCGCAGTGTGCACTTCACCTAATCATATTGCTACATAGTTTTCCTTCGTTCTATATCGCGTTTAGTTAAATTTGAAAAGTAGTCATACATTTTTTGAAGCCGTGAGCTAATGTACAAAATCATATCAGCATTAAAATATTTATCCACAATTTTTATTTTTCTCATAGAATCGCAGAGAGCGGATGGTTGTAAGCAACAATGGGATCCGTTCCAAAATTAAGACCGTTGACGGGAACGAGCTGGACACAATTTTCATCGATCGCAGAGGGTAATTGCAAATTTGGATTTAATTCAGTTAAATTTTTCAAATTTTTAAATTTTTATTCCAACAAATGTGCGAAATAGTGCATTTTTTAAAACAGTCCAAAGACTTTTTTCCTTCTATTTTTCTTCATGGAAGTCTGATCCATGCTAAATTATCCTTATGCAATAAGAATTCTAAAATATTTTAAACGAGGGTGGGCGATTAATTTTCATAATTGCTCAATTTTTATATATCTGATTAATTTTTGTCTAATTTGCATACGCAGAGAACAAGATAACCGGAGTGGACGATTTTTAGTAATTTGTTTCGAGGGCAACCAAACCTACTACGAAATGGGAATGACCAGGACCCCCATTTTGAAAGAACATTCGGTGTTGGGATACAATAGACCCGGGTTTGGGGAATCCACCGTAATTTTTTTAAGTTTTAAAATATCTCATAAATTTCTTTCTTAAATATTTAAATTTGTTCAGGGTCGACCATACCCTTATTATGAGCTTAATGGCGCGGAGGCAGTGCTGCACTACGCTCAAGAAGAACTTGGCTTTGAAGATGACGACATCATCATATATGGGTGGTCGATCGGGGGATTCCCCGCGTCATATTTGGCAGGCCAATTCCCAAATATCCGCGGTCTGGTGGGGAATTTTCCATATTTTTAACGGTTTGATTTTTTTTTGTAAACTTGACAATAATTCCTTTGGCAAATAATTTTTTACAGATGATTGATGGCACCTTTGACGACCTACTACCTGTCGTGCTTAACCTTGTACCGGGCTGTCTCTCAATGTTGGGTTAGTTTTATGTCATGATCGTCATAAACTTGTAAAATAGTTATCAATTTCCATTTTTATTGAATTAATCATGCAAGTACTCATACATATTTATCTATGCACAACATACATTTAAATAAACCGTAGTAACGTTAGAAGTAGCTCACCCTGTAATAATGATTTGGTTATAACCTGCCCCAAAGGTGCAGAAAAATGCAACAAAATAGATACATAATTTTTGGCAATTATGCACCAATGGTGCAGAAAAATCCAACAAAGTGGATCAATAATTTTTATGCAATGTTGCACCAATGGTGCAGAAAAATTAAACAAAATAGATCAATAATTATTATGCATCGAGAAGAGTCCAAAAATTGTGCATCACTGGTGCAGAATTACCTACCAACGATCAACGATAATTTTGAAAAATTTATGTCAAAATTGTATGATCATTTCTCCCGGATATTCTGCATTATTGGTGCGTTTTGCGTCCCTGCCTCCAATTATTTCGCATCATTTTGTGTTCCCGATTGTTAGATATCAATGGTCCTATTAACTTGTTAAAAAATTTGATTCGGTTTGTTTAGTACCAATGGTGCGCCTAACGTATCCAATAATGGTCAAGGGGCTGTTTAATTAGCATCAATTGATGCAAAAAGGTCGTTAACAGACAGACGGACGGACGGACGGACAAGAGGAATTCAATAGCTCCCGTGCTACGCAGGGTGAGCTAATAAACCGTAGTAACGTTAGAAATAGCTCACCCTGGACTAATGAATCATTATTAATGATTTGGATATAACTTTGCACCAAAGGTGCAGAATAAACGAACAAAGTGGGCAGAATTTGGATTACATTTTGCATCACAGGTGCAGAATAAGCCGAGAAACGTGTATAGTTTCGACACAGTTTGGTACCAATAGTGGAAAAAAAGGGTGGAAAATTGACACATAATTTTAACATAATTTCGACTCTTCCTAAGCTCGATGCTACACGCGGTGTCAGGATTGCTTACTGCAAGGTATTCTGCGTGGGATCACAACAAACTGGAACGGGCGAAAAAAGACTTGGCAGCAGAATTCGAACTAATATTTACAGACGATGAGGCGGAGTCGGTGTACAAGGCGTCATTAATTAAGTTTATTTGATTGAACAAGTCATTCAATCATGTGTTAATTATAGATATTTGCTTTGGTGAGTTTTGCATCGATTGTCCCAATTGTTTGGCACCATAGAAACTAGATACATAAGTTTGATATAATTATGCACCAATGGTGAAAAATAAGCGAGAACAATTGTTAGATAATTTTGACATACATTAATGCATACCAAATGTGCTACGAATTAGGGTTAAAATGGTTTTGGGACTTATTAATTAGCATCAATTGATGCAAAACACTCGTGAACACACAGACGGACAGACGGACAAGAGGAATTCAATAGCTCTCATGCTACGCAGGGTGAGCTAATAATATTTTCATACGGTAGTAAAACATTTCCTAATTTTCTGATAATTAGTTTTGAATTGAATTCCAAGAGAAATTCGGAAATAAGCATACATTTTTTGGCAAGTTAAAAATTCATCATAAGTAAACTCTGGGATTGAAAAATTTTCAAAAGTGTCTTAGGGAATTGTAAGGCTAAAAATTGTGTCTTCGCAGTTTTCAATTGGCAAAAGATGTACAGAAGTATTCCAAAATTTTTCCGAATGTGTTTATTTGAAATTCATTTCGAAAGATTTATCAAGGGATAAATCCTCTTTATAAGATCGTTATGCCCGTCCGTCCTTACGTCTGCACAGCCGATAACTTGTGTCGCACGAAACTGCATACACCCCAGAAATTTAAATTAAAGTTCCTTAAGTATGTCCAGGGGTAGACGTGCTTAGAAAATGGGTCACGTAGGTCACAAGGACACGAGGCGGGGTCTCAGGTCACCGTTTTCTTAAATTAGCACGACGTGTGGGGACTCAAATCGAGAGTATTTTCAAAGACGTGCTAAATTACATACATGATTTTGATCTGAGACACCCAGTTAAGCGAGTATAAAGGTCAAAAATTTCGAAAAAAGCTATCAGAATTTTGACTGGTAGAAGCAAAATGACATTCATTTTTACTTATGTATGTACGCACATATAATTCATGGGTTTCAGCTATTGGTCACGTGCAACGGTTTATTTTAGAAATCGAAATCGTATAAGATTATTTAGTCCGATTTTGTTAACACTAACCTTTCCAACCAGGCAAATTTGCGTTCAGACGTTTATAGTATTTAACTGTACAGCTTGTTTTAAAATGATTTTTTAAAAATCTTTGCTTCGTTCGCGTGATGATTCGACATCACTTCGACCTACGTGTCAGCCATGAACTAGGGCGGTACATGGGTCCTATCCGGATATATCGTCGCACCCATGATCAAATTATGGCAAGTCCTCCTGCCAATATTGCGAGCAACCGGGCTAATGTGTTGTTGGCCGACGTACTTCAACAACGGTTTCCACTCCTTCTTAACAACCCCGTTGCTCTGGCCACCCTTGCGAACTGGTTAGGTCTTCCGCATGTCCGAGGTAACGCTACAATATTGCGAAAATTACAATGCAGTCATGATAAAATATTTTGTACAAGACTAGATAATACCAAACTTAATGGGCAATTTAAAAAATTTATAACAATTAAATTCCAACATCGGGTTAAAAATATTTCCACTTTTACTTCTGTATTAATGAGTATAAACCACCTGCTACCTTAATTCGTATCGTGTTATATTTTTAAACCTTGGTGCGTAACGTTACCTCCACTCAGGATTCAGATTTTATATATACATGCTAGGTCCCACCGGTTTTCGATATTTTCCGATTTTTTCTACATATTTGTTAAACTGGTTTTCGATTTTTCTGATTTTTTTTGCATATTTGTAAAAATGGGCTTCGGGCTTCTCCAAAAGTATTTGAGAAAAAAATGCCCCAGATGCCCAAATCGTTATAAATAAATGTGTAATTTGGTTCGGGATATTTAGTAAAACTGAATATTAAATAATCTTGGACTAAGAATATAAAACTGGTGTAATTTTAATACATTTTTTTAAATTCTCAGATCACGCTGAAATCATTGGAATGCAAAATCAGCACGTTAACATCCCTGCAAATGTGAACAACATGACCAATATTGCTAAAGCCAACTTGATAATTCTACTGGTGAGTTTCATTGCATATTTGATGATGGATTCTGTTAAATTGAGTAAATTTACAACTTTCTTTGTTTCGTTTCAAGGCCGAGAGACTTATGACTGACCTCGAAGCAACCCACAATGCCTTGATACCAGAGGAACTGTTCATCCAACCATGGACCGGACCGCAGTAAAATAAACAGATACAATATCAAATTACCGTGAAAACTCAAATAGTAGGAGTGTTCAAATAGTAGCCATGTCTCTTTTCGAAATTTTTTAAATATTGACCGTTCTCAAATAGTCGCCCGACCAAAATAGTAGCCTTATCCGAATAGACGCGCCTCTATTTCCATAAAACCACACTTCTTAACACTTTAAATCTACATCTTTCTTTTACACTTTCTGTCAAGATTATATCCATTATTAACTTGAAATTAATAGGTAACAATTAGTAGGTCAACTTATTCGCTGATTAGCATAATCTCCAACATTTCTTGAATTGGCTATGAACGGGGACACAGTGGACAAGACAGGCAATAATTAGAGACCCGACCATAATAAAACCCGATAATACCACATTATTATTAGTGTTATTATTATCATTATCATTATTATTACTGATACAATTAATTTACACTTATTTTAATCCTGGATTGAGTTGTAACTTAAAATTTTTCGCGAGTTAGATACCTAAATTAACTTAATGTTTCTTAGTTTTTGCGTAATTAACTTTCGTGTTACCAAGTAGTTGTTTGACAACTCATAAATTGGTTATTCAATTTACTTCCTACCATAAACAAATGCTCGTGTTACTAATTATTATACGTTTGGGTATAAATCTATCAATATTTTGTTATATTTATGAAAATTCAATATAAGTATCTATGTATGTATAATACTAATACTAATACTATTACATTTATATATATACTTTCCAATGTTTATCAATGTATCTAAATCAATATTTATATCAATATTTCCAAGAAATATATTAAAACTTTGCAGAATTTAAATTTTTTATTGTAAGTTTTCGTTATTTTTTAAAACTTGAGTGGGTGTGGTGGGCTCGAAGTTCGTCATTAGGTCCTCCCAAGTGGGTTTTGATGTGGGGCTACTTACATCACAAGATATTTAATGTCAATCAACAGGAAACGAATTTTTAGTAATATTTTAAATCAGCGAAAACCCGGATTTTCCACTTTTTTGGCCAAACCGGGGGGTGTGGCGGGGGCAAATGTCCTCATACGGTCAAACCCTTCTAGACAGTTGTAATACGAACCTTATACTACAACATATCAGAAGGACATCAAAATCGGTCGCTCCTACACGAAAAGTCATCATGCGATATGTCCCCATAAATTACGAGATGACCTCTCAAAGCACGCTTCAACGCTTCAACAGACTGCAGATGTCACTTTCGGTTTGAAATTTCCCGAAACCTAATAAAATATAAACTCTACATGTATGTAGAGAAGCCCACGTGAAAGAAAAATTGAAAAATTGTTAACAGATATGTTGTTATAACTTGACCATTGTTAGGCCAAGTTATAACAAATATGAAATTATCAAAAGTGCATGCATGCAATTGGGCACGCAATGCCAAAATGCTCATATGAGAATCAGAGCTTCTACAATGTTTGAGATTGACTAAACATGGGATTGTTTAAAGTGTAAGCATGTATGCAATGTCAAAATGTTCATATGAGAATGGGAGTTTTAGCGACACTTGAGTGAACGAGATCGTCTAAACATGGGATTGTTTTTAACTCTAGTTTTGGCACGCAATGCCAAAATGTTCAGATGAATATGATCGTGCTTGTGACAACCCAGTGAACAGACTGGAAATACCGACCAGACGGTTAAAAAGTTAATTTATTAATTAATTAACTAATTCAAAACAGTTTAAATGAAAAATTGTTAGCAAGTTGGAAGTGATATATGTGAAGTGATGAACAATGCCAAAAACGCGTTATTGTTCAGTCGAACCGAATCCCTTATCACCGCGCGGCTCGCGGGATAAGAACTCACTTCTTTGAACGCCGTGTTCTTCGTCTTTCTTAGTTCCTTCAACGTATCGCACTGGTCCGTGGTACATTGGGATTACTGCAAGCTGCCCGAGGCGTGACGCCGCTTTGTAAGCGAAGTTTTCGCTCGAGTTGTTGTGCAAGATAATCTTCATCGTCCCAGTATAATCATGGTCGATTATGCCACCTTAAATAAATTTTATAAATTTGTAATTATTCAATTTGTAACAGTAATGTAATAATGAGCAACAAACCTGCTGTGGATATCATTGTTGCTGCGGCCAATCCTGACCTCCCCTTAATCAAACCAAAGTGGTTGAGGGGCAGTATAACTTGGATCCCCGTCTCCACCACACCAACACCGCCACCACTGATTTCGCCAGAGTTTTGAGAAAATAGGTCATATGCTGCTGATCCAGGCGTAGCCTTCCTCGGAAACATTGCCCGTCTATGACGACGAACAAAGATAAGTCCGTCAACTGTGTGAGAAATTAATAGACAATAATTTTAGTTAATTAATGAAGTATTGGAATTTATTTATTTTCAGAATTGATCCGGTGCTAATTTGAAGGTAAGTATTGAGAGGATTTATGGAGCAATAACTAATAATCTAGTATTTGTAACCAAAATTTGAATTTTAAAACTTTTAGTGAGCTTAACATCAAATAAAGCTCTAAGCGTCCGGTTTTGCCGGGAGCATGCTACCAACGTCGTTGCGCATTTCTTCTAACGCTTTTACTAATGACCAATAGTGGTCGACCAGAATATTTGCGCCCACATTTTGATTTTTGCGTAAAGATAAATATGTTTTTGAGTTGTTATGCCATGTTTGGAGTCGGAGGTAGTATTCGCCTCCTAAAAACCCCTCCCACCAAATTGAATTTTGCGAATCTTTCTTCTCTTCGTAGGACGAGAAGTTTTTCTTAATTGTACCTGGCTGTTCACCTGCTCCTCCGCCGCTGAAGTGAGGCTGGGGATCCTTCTTGGATGTCTTCCGCTTAGCGTCCTTCACGGCCGACTTGACTAGGTCCTTCACGATCCTCTTCGCAGGCTTCTTATCGTCGTCGCCTGAAAGTGAGCAATTAATTTAGTTAATGTTTTTGCATTGAGTATTTGAAAATAATCGAATTATATAAAATATTAATCTACGTCTCGAATGTGTTAATATTTAAAATTAATAAATAAAAAAATATTACCAGCTTTTCGCTTAGTTCCAGATCCCGATCCCTGCCTAGGTCCTTCGTTAGACTTTTTCATGGGCTTCTTTTCCGCATCCTTAACTTCTTCTCGTCTACCTGTAAATAAGAGCGTAAGCGTAATGTAAATTTACAAATTAAAAAATAAAATAAATGAGTAAAATAAAACGATAAATCTTACGGTCGCTATCCTTATGTTTCTTCTCGGCTTCCTTTCTGCCCTTGTGGGTCGTCTTGTTCTTGGCGTCTCTTCTCGGGGATCGGTCCGATTCCGAGTCGTCCGACCAAATTGCTTTCTTGCTCCTATGCCTTTTACCCTCATCGCTGCTGCCCGACGAACTGCGATGACTTGACCGTGAAGAACTACTATCGCTGGAACTGCGGCTCGTGCTGCGAGTGGCGCTGCGGCTTCTGCGATTATCGTTTTCTGAAATAGAAATTAAATTGTAGATTCAAATAATTTTTTCTGTTTTCTTTGCTTTTGAAGCAATTTGCTTAAGAATATTTCTGAATAAAATTTCTGAAAGAAAAAAAACTTACTTTTTGTCATGATGAAAAATTTTCTTCTTGTTCACAATTCAAAGTTAACTCCTCGAAATTATTTCTTTGACTAATACGACTAAATGGAGATCGTCGTCTTTTATATCGTGATTTAATCTCAAAATTGAACATGATGACGACAGTAAACAAGAATATAAAATAATACGATAACAAGTGAATACTTGCTTGTTAATGGAGTGATCTAATTAATTACTTTGTTGTGACTATGCGTATTATCTTCTTTGTTTGAGTTATTTTCTTTGTAACAAGAGGTATTTAGTAGATTGTTATTAAATTATTTTTTATTTATTTTTAATACTTCTTTCTGTGTACTTGATCTTTGACATTTTAGTCTTCATGATGTCACTTCAGTAGTATAAATATGAGAACCGAATTATTTTTAAATTCCATTTGGTATTTGATTATACACCCGATATCAACACGCCAAATTGTCACAAATAATTTAAGCTATCAACTCACAAAAGTATGATACACATACGTAAATTATGTCAGCTGATGACATAATTACTTAATTTAATTGAGATGATGATGATATAATAATTATAATAAACTTTCTTATTATTTAGACGCAAATCTCGGAATTTTGTCGTATTGTCGCTGCTGTTGCTGCTGCTGCTGCTGCTGCTACTACTCGCGGCTGGTGATGCTCGAAGGAATGAAACAATCTATGTGAGTACGACCACCACATTTATGTATAATGACAATTTAATAATTAAATACTGTAGCAGACTGGAGAACGAGCGGATTCTTTTATAAGCGGAGGAATATATGCGTTTTCACTTCTCTCATATCAATGTGCGTCCTTGCGAATTTATGATTTATTCAATATTTAATCTTTCTTATCCTCATTTCGTGTCATAATTTTTATAGATGAATTCATGGAAATCTTGTACGAGATGCATCCCATGTGGACTTCAATTCGCCTCAGCAAGGCGGTTCGAAAAACACGTTGCGAATCACAGAAGGCCTTTTAGATTATATGTATGCAAGTTATGTAATTTAGAATTCACTCAACACAAAGCGTACGATATTCATATAAATTCACATAGATACACATAGGTCACTGATAAATCACGCTATTTTGAAAAATACTACGAAATTGTTACTAAATTTCACACATACATTACATTGCTAGTTTCACTCTCGGAACGCTCTAGATTTGTATAATTAATAAATAATTTCGTATTTGTACAGCTAGTACCGTTCCGAAAACGACTACCTTATGGACATCCAACCGACCGGAAGTCACAACGTCGCCACCAGATTATAGGAAAGTGTTGCTGTTCTTCCTCCCCCCAAACCCAGAAAACCCCCCCGACGCCTAACCTGCGAGGAGAGAGCGGTCATGTTAGAAAAGCGAAAGAAGTCCACCCCAGAAATCCTCGGTCCCCTCGTCGCGACGGCAGACGGGCGAAAAATCTATGAAAATTATGAAGTCACTTTACAAAATGAGAATTACGTCTGCGTCACATGCGGCTTTATTACTGGGCCACAATACACGAATAACTGGCGTCGATTGTTCGTTATTAAGATGCATACTAGAGATTTTTAGCACATTTTTAATAATACATTGTTCAAACGTAATAAATACAGACGTCGAAAATCGTAAAATAAATTACTCGTTATACTATAGTATATTTTCATTCCTATTTTTTATAAGTAATTTCCATCATAATATATATATCAAAAAATCATTGAAATAATTCATCAAGTGACATACATAAATAAATTTGCATATGGAGTTACCACGGTAACCGTCGTAAGGTAGCTTAACCACCCTGGGTAAGAAATATATTGTATGCACATATGTATGCACAATGTACATTGTACATACCCATTAAGCTTTAGCTCTGCACTTCACCTTGACTGCCAGCCGAGCAGAGTTGATGTCGCTACTGTCAACTGTGCATCTATTAAGCTTGCGCATACAAACACATTCCTACCCCAGGCTATGTAGCAGCTGAGCGGTGTTGATACCGCAACTTTGTGCACACAGCGTGAGAGTAGGAGACGTTTTCCTCGGGTAGGCTAACTTGAAGGTTATTTACCCGAGCAAAAATTCGGTCACGTTTTCTATACTGATGAAAAATCATCATTTCACAACAAAAATTTACCCTTTATGCAATTTACATGGTGTACATCTGCTTATGCAATTTACATGGTGTACATCTGCTTATGCAATTTACATGGTGTACATCTGCTTATGCAATTTATATGGTGTACATATGCTTATGTACGTTGTGCGTGGTAAGGTGGTAAGCATATTTATTTTGCACGAAAATGACCAAACAACCAAAGACCACATCAAAATTATTATCCCACTTCAACCTGTGTGCATAACTTCATGTAAAGTGCAATCACTAGTATTGAAAAATTGTTAAAATTCTCCAAGAAAAACTTTTTTTCTAGGTTTTTGAATGATTTAGGGTCTAAATTTTTGACTAATAGAGAATTGTAGAAGCAACAATTTAATGAAATTCGTAAAAATATGCATTTTAACACATACTTAAATTGGAAAATACATGCACATCTGCCATCATTGAAATGATATTATATATGTATGTATGTAAATATGTATTTATTGTCAAATTTTCAGCCGTTTTGCAATGGATTTTTTTACCCATGACATGTTCTTAATCTCAACTTTAAGGTGGCCATTGAACCCCAAGAATTCAACCAATTACTCCTGGGTGGGGAGCGGGGCAGAACGAGCAAATACGAAAAAATAAATGCAAAAAACTACCCACAATGACCCAGAATAACCTGAGAACGACCAAATTATTCCTCTCCATCTAACAATTTATGGAATTATCTAAGGAAAGCCATACATCGCGGTCAACTAGCTAATTTAGTACCAAAGTACGCAGAGGGTATCCGTCCATAAGGACAAGTGTGGAGGTGTCCACAGGCCGGACCGAAAGTCCGGCCGTACCGGGGCCCGGCAAGATAGTATGGTGACCGAAAAATAATAATTCATGATAAAACAAAAAAAAACACGCACTTATGCGTACTAAAATATACGCATGTATATTTCAGTTATCGATATTTCGCACCAGTAGCAATCTTGGTAGTCAGGACTGTCCTATTGGGAAACAAATCTGTTTTCGGCATAAAAATCGTAAAGGGTAATGGCATATGATGTATTTAAAGACATCTCGAATTCAGCAAGAAACATTCTTGCAAGTTCATGAAACTTGCGGGACGTGTTTTCGACACCCCAAATTTGTGTTGAAAACAATTCTTTTCACGAGTTCTGACGTGTCAATGTTCTTAAAAATCTCAAACGAGGAAATTGTCCCCAGACACTATTACTCTTTCTGTAAGAAGTTATAAAATCTGGATCACGTCGAACAATATAGGTCTTTTAGATGTAAAAATTACGTTTCCATGGGACCATTTTCATTTTACTCAATACAATAATACAAAAAATAAGAATACCCTTATTTATCCATTTTCATAATGCGCTAATTTTAAACTATTTTCTTACCAAACCTGCAGGTTTTCAAAATCCTTTAATTTTTCGAATTTTAGCACGAATTTAAAATTTTGAAAATATGTCTCCCCTGAATAGCTTGCCTGAATTATTATGAATCCAATTATAGCAAAATTAGAATTTCAGTATTTCTTCCCGTTTTTGAAATTTTAATAAATAGTTACTTACCTCGTGTAAAGTTTTGAATAAAAAATATTGCAATTGCATTTTTAATAAATCAAAAACCTATAATTCAGGATGGGCATGGTTTTTGAATTTTTGAATTAGACCGAACCTTGGAAAAGCAAGAGGATATTGGTAGCCCGAGGTTTTGGCTGAACATATTTTAAAATTTACTCCTCCTGCTCAAATTAACGCATTACAAAAAATGCAAAAATATGGGTGCGCTAATTTTTCGGGATCAAAAACAAAAGGAAAATAGTCGCATGGAAATCTGATCACGACCTGCATTTCGACATAAATTTGCTAGGTCAGGGTTCAATTGCTGTGCATTATGTTTCAGTTTTTCCGTTTTGTTTCCGTTCGGAACCAACGTTAAACACCCAAATATATTTTTTGGCCTTAGTTACGAAAATAATTTAAAGAAAAGTAATACACTTTGATCATAATAAACGAGAACATAGGTTTTAAAAGAGATTATATAGATTTAAAAAAAAGTTTTTGCGTATTTTGAAATGAAATATCAACTTCGTGCAATATAGTATTCTTACCAAAAACAGTAAATTCTAATTTACTGATTTTCCTGAGTGGTGGGATGTGTATACTTTCGCGAATTTTTGTTATGATTACCGTAAATACTCTATTTATAGCCGGGGCTAAAATCCAAAACTGAGGAGGGGAGCTTCACCACCTGCCCCTCTCAGATCTTGATGTGCTTTGGATATGTGGTAGTGTCCCATGAGTGTACTAAAACCCTGAAGTGGTTTGACTCCATGGCCACAGTTATTTTTTACATATCTATGTAAAAATAAACTAGATTTTTTCGTATATTTCTTGGTAACAGAACGAACGATGGACTCGTTACCCCCCCCCCTTCCTTGACCGGTTCCGCCCTAAAATTCCCCACTGTAATGCAACCTTTTCTCAATTTACACCTGGAAAACTAATGAAAAATGTATATTTACTACATGCGTACACTGAAACCTTTTGGATGACATGAATTCAATATGCTCGGCGTATCATTTTATACCCCCCACCCCCTTCATAACAATTCGTAACGCACTTCCCATGACCCCCCCTCCCCCCCTCTTGCGTTACGTAATTTATGGACGGCCCCTAACCGGACCAACTATCGCTTTGCACCCTGTTTTTGGTCAAGGAATAGGTCATAACTCGAAATTTGGTGATAACAATTTTTGAATTTTTCTTCGACGTGGGTTTCTCCACATATATATTGCGTTTATATTTGAATAGGTCGCAGGAAATTTTTGACCGGAAGTGACATCTGCGGTCTGTTTAAGCGTTGAAGCGTGCTTTGAGCGGAAGCTCGAAGCACGCTTTAAAGCTTAAGCAGACTGCAGAGGTCACTTCCGGTCAAAAATTCGGAACGACCTACTAAAATTCATACTGTACATATATGTGGGGAAGCCCACGTCGAAGAAAAATTCAAAAATTGTTATCACCAAATTTCGAGTTATGACCTATTTCTTGACCAAAAACAGGGTGCAAAGCGATAGTTGGTCCGGTTACCTGTTGTATTTGCCAAAACCTACACGTCTTGAACAATTAAATTTTTTTCGAACTCCGCCTCGGGGATTTTAGGTATCGAATTTCAAAATCTTCCAGTTTTGGAAATTTTTTTTGAAAACCACTCCCTGCTGGGGGTGTGGTCAACGGTGCCTAATTACTTTATCACGTTACCCCATCAAGTGGGGTGTCAGTTCAAAGCTCTCATCAAGGCCTACATAATTACGAATAACATCTGGATAGTATGGCCACACCCACGGTCAGGGGGTGTGGTCAAAATACAAATTTTTGTTTTCATTTCGATTTTGTTTTCAAACCTCCGAAGCTTGTCGAATTTTAACCCGATTAAAAAAAATTGTCAATGTTTACTTAGAATTACGTGAAGTGAATTACAAATAAATTCTGTGTAAAATTCTGCCGAATTGCATGAGCAGAACTCAAAATGTTCTCCGGTTTCCATTTAATTTATCTATGTACATATGCATACATACATATTTACTTAGCATCCAATTTTACGCAGTTAAATAAAATCTCGGGGTTTGGAAAAGTATCAAAAAGTTGAAATCATGAAATCTTGGAATCGCATGAAATGTGTTCATGCATTTTTCTTTGTTCATCAGCTGGAGGAAATTCAGTCTCACTTTCACTTTTGGCACGAGTTTGAGCCCATCTGCTCAAATTCCTTGTCAACATTTTCCTCAGTTTTTGTCTCAAACTTAATTAATTAAGTAATTATTGGCGACAGCAATTAAAGAATTATAAATTTATGGTGAGTGTAGTGGGCAAGTTATTCAACTCGAAGGCACATAATTTTCACGTAGTCCAAGTAATTCCAGCTTGTAAAGATTATTAAGAACTTCTTATTTATTAAGGACGGAACAATTTCAAATTTTATTTATTTCTCACTGATAAATCACTCTATTTTGTAAATATTATGAAATTATTACTGAATTTCACACATCACACATATATTTCTAATTTGATTTTCGAAACGCTCAACATTTGTATAATTAATAAATAATTTCGTATTTTGTATTTATACAGCTTCTCGAAAATTATGGAGCCAGAATCCCTTCAACGGACCGGAAGTCACACCGGATTACTCGATAGTGTGGTTCCTCCTCCTCCCCCCAAACCCAGAAAACCCCCCCGACGCCTGACCCCAGAGGAGAGAGCGGTCATGTTAGAAAAACGAAAAAAGACCATCCCAGAAGTCCTTGGCCCCCTCGTCGAGACGGCGGACGGGCGAAAAATGTACGAAAATTATGAAGTCGTTCTAGAAAATGAAAATTACGTCTGCGTCACGTGCGGCTTTATTACTGGGCCACAATACACGAATAACTGGCGTCGATTGCGCGTTATTAAGATGCACATCAAGGCGAAACATTTAAGTAAGTTGAGAAGTAAACAAGGTGGATTTTATGTCGTTTCAAGTTGACAATCTTTATATTTTCTAGATGCTTATCGATGCGATTCGTGCGAAAGGAATTTTACCACGCATAAATGGTAATTGGACTGTGTAAAAAATAGAGGTGTCCCAACGTATCTTCACAGATTTTGGTCAAACCAGTGTTAATCTTGTGAAATTTGCAAAAGACATGAGCTGTCAATTGGTATTGCAAATATTACAAATATCTACTAGATTTCTCAATTGTTAACTCGATCGATCGATTTAAGTAATATGTATGTATGCAATTTGCAAAAAGAAACTAAAAAACAGCCCGATATATTTGCATCCGAAGAAGGGAAAACGCGTAGTAAATTTGGAAAATGTAAAATTTGTCGACTTTCCGGTGCCCGTTTTCTCCGGATGCAAATATTCGCCAACTTGCGAATTGGGAAATCTTGTCTTAAAAGGCTTACACTTTCCATTAATTAAATTTGTGATTGATTGACACTAATTTGGTCAAAATCTGTAAGCATTCTCTGGATGACACCCGTTCCAGTGGTCAAAAGTTCCTTAACAAAACATGCTAATTAACAAATTAACCTTCTCCCCTTAAAGTTACCAAGGCCACCTCCGAAATGTACATCACCCCGAAAAACTGACCCTCTATTTATGCGACCTCTGTGGAAAATCCGTCTCCGACATGGACACGCACTTATGGGGGCACAAGTCCCCCGAAGAAAAAGAGGAAATCATCAAATCTGGCAAAGGCTTTGCAATCCTACCGTGTCCCAAGTGTGGCAAAGAATTTGCCGGGTTTGATAAACTCGCAGCCCATCAAATCCAGGCTTATCGGTGTAAAGGAAGTGAACTATATTCCCCCGAATTAATTTTCGGAATTAGTTCAAACCGGAAACTGCCATGTCCCACGTGTGGCAAGATGGTCTTCCTAGTCAATCTCGTCCGGCATGAATGGACCCATAAAAATGCGGCGGAAAAAGAAGAGACTGCCCGGCTCGGGACAGCGCCAATGGTTCGGTGCAGTATTTGCGACAAATTTGTGTATCGCACGGATTACACGAAACATGTCGAAGCTCACAAGAAACTTGGGGACAAGACGCATTTCCACTGTGACTGGGAGGGGTGTGGTCGCAAATATTTGGAAGAGGAGCATTTAATCCGACACAGGAAAATGGAACATGAAGGTGTCGAACTTGCCCTTAGTAAGAGAGATTTAAGAATTGGAGTCGTTTCACTGCGATGTCCAGGTGAGATTTTTAAAAAATCTTGGTATATTATGGGGTGAAGCCCTATTACGTAGGTGTTTTATTATTAATTTTCAAAAGGTATGTTCCGCACTGTTTCTGACCAAAATTTTGATGAAATAACAAACTTCAAATACATTTAGGAGGCTGTGATTTTTTTCAGCTCTGTGGGTTAACATAAACACTAGCAATAAATCGGCAAACTTTACCTCGACGGAAAAAATGCTAGATTTGCAAATTAAATATCGTAGTGTGATTTAATTTTTAATGCTGGATCGGCAATACGTGTTGCAGATTTATGGTTGAATCCTTAAAATTTACGATGAAGACTGCCCAACACAAAACACAAATTCAATTGGGTCAATAATTTTAAATGATGGCGAAACGAGGTCTCGGACAAAAAGTCGCCAGGACGCTCAAAATCCGTTTCTTCCACAGAAAGGCTCCGGAAACTAGAGGAACAAATAATGAGAGATCCGCGATTGAAACTGTCCTATTTAGCAGATAAGATGGGTGTTTCAAAACCAGCAATTTGTTCCATGTTAACTGAAGACTTAGGTATGAAAATGGTTTCCGCCCGTTGGGTACCAAAATTGCTTTCAGCATCTCAAAAACAGGATCGAGTCGACTTTTGCAATGCCAATTTTAACCTATTAAATGAAGACTTGAACCTGCTCAATATTTTATTAGTTGCATATGGTACTTGGGTTTACTATTATGACCCGGTGACCAAATAATAATTCCCTCAATGGAAGCACGAGGGGTTGTCACCGCCCGTGAATTGAAAAGTGCAAAAATCTGACAAAAAAATGATGATGACCATTTTCAAGGATACCAAAGGTCCCCTCCTTATAAAATTTATTGCTGGTAATACTGCAATAAATGGGGCCGTGTATGCAGGAACCCCGAAGGAGCTGCGTCCTCCGGTTGAAAAGAAACGTGGGGTCAAAATAAAGAGTTGGCCTTTTTTTAGACGACAACGCGCCACCTCATACCTGGCTTTTTGCGAGGGTTAGTGCAGACGAAAATCGCTTTACCTGCACAAACCACACCCCGTGCAGTCCGGACTTGACCCTTAGTGATTATTATTCGTTTCGAAACTTAAAGAAAAACATCAGGGGAAAACGGTTTTCGGATGATAATGAAATCAAGTCGTAAATTTTGGCATATTTTCGAGGTAAATTTTAATGAGTTATTGCTAGTGTTAATGTTAACCTACAGAACTGAAAAAAATCACAGCATTCTAAAAGTATTTGAAGTTTGTTATTTCATCAAAAGTTTGGTCAGAAACAGTGTGGAACATACATTTTGAAAATTAATAATAAAACACCCACGTATGTGTTCGTTTTGTCCGTCCGAATGACGAATTATGTATGTATTTATGACCGCGTGCGTAAAGTTATAAATGTTTAATTTTTACGTAGTTTCGGCCCTGCCATTTCGTTTCACTCTATTGCTACATTTCGTTTGGCACGGTTTATCTGAAAATATTAATGAAAACATATGTATATTTTATTTCAGACCCATCCTGCTCCTCGCGCCGTTTTACGACACAACTCAGCCTGCAAGGTCACATTGGTCGTCGCCACGAGTTCAAGGTCCGAGCGGAGCGTCCCTTCAAATGTGAAATTTGTCAAGCTCGGTTCCTCATCAAGGGTGATCTCACCCGACATTTGAAGAACCACCGTCCTCGTGAAGACTTCACGCTGACGTGTCCCCAGTGTCCCATGCTGTTCTTTAAGTCGAGCTTATTAAAGACGCATTTGACCTTGGAACATGCCGTCCCAAAGGAAAGCAGGACCGAGCGGGATCGAAAAATCCGCGAGGAAGCTAAAAACCTCGGCGAGCGGCCCTTCGAGTGTGACATTTGCCATGCCAAATTCCAGGTCAAAACTGCTCTCGGCACGCATATGAGCAAGCACCGTCCACGGGAAGAGTACACGCTGTCTTGTCCCCATTGTCCCGCATTGTTTGCCTTCAAACAACCGTTAAGGTGGCATTTAACTGTGGAACATGCAGTGCCGAAGGAAAGCAATAAAGTGAGATTAAGAAGATATTACGACCTAAGGAAAGCAGCAGAGGCTGCTAAGAAGGCTGTCAAGAAGAATGACGACAAAGTGTACGTAGTAAAAAAAATAGTTGGTTAGTTTAGTAAATACACTCTTAAAAATAATGAGGGTATTCATAATTCCTTGGTATCCTTAGTATCGTCGTAAAATACATAGTTAACTAAGAAAAAACAGTGGTCAGCTTAAGTTTAAACAGTTTAAGATGGTAAACTTACTAATGTGACTTTAATGCCAAAATCTCGCCACGTTTTTAAAAATTCCAGAACTTATTTTACGACACGAAAATTACCACGGAGTTATGAATACCCTTAATGTTACTTTCAAGCCTTTTACTCCTCAACAAGTTAACACAGTACTCTGAATTTAACTTAGCATATAATTCAGAGTGCATTCACTTTTCAAAAGGGTAACATTATTTTTAAGAGTGTACAATAAATTCTGCAAATTGCAAATTGGCTTCGTGAATTCCTACTTTTATAACATTTCACCTTTTAATTAATTTTCTTCCCTTATATTCTTTCAGTCCTCGGAAGAAAAACTCTCGCCAATCGTCACCATCCCGGAAAAAGGCCATTTCTCGTCCAAAACGTACAAAAATTGAGCATAATCCGGATGAAGAAATTGAAATTAAGAAAGAAGCTTGCCCCATTCGGGATGTCCTTTCTTCCGAAGGGGAGGAGGACGACGATACACCCAATGATGAAGCAAAGGTTGAGATTAAGTCTGAAGATGAAGAATCAAACGGTGACCATGATAATGATACAAATTGGTCACCATTTAGCGGCGAGATCAAATCTGAGGATGAGAGCAACAGTGATATTGACGGGGAGGGTGAATACAAGGGTTTTAAAATGTTAACTTTTGACGGTAATTCGTCGTCTGATGAAGACCATGGAGGAGATGAAGATCCACTAAAATTTTAAAATAATTATAGTATTTATGTATGTAATAAGGGTATTCATTACGAGTTTTCATGTTCGCGTCGCGTCGCAACATAATTTGGAAAGAAATCACTAGTTTTGGAGATGCGCAAGTTCACAAATAAATTTTTTCAAGCCCAATTTTTTTGCAAACTTTGTGTTTTTTATAACAATGCAAACTCGTAATGAATACGCTCGATACATATTTTTGTATTATTGTAGACTTCGTTTTGTACTTATTTTGTCCAAATTTCTCATGGATAAGTTATTTATGACAAAGTATGTAATAAATTAAGTAGTAAAGCACATTTACATACATATGTACATACTTATATCTAATCTTTTACCTATCTAACTCAACATATTTAAATACTTTCAGAAATCTTGTAGATATTTGTTCTATGTAGCTATTTGCTGTTTCACCCTCGTAACATAAATGCATGACGTAGTAAGCAATTTAAGTTTCAAATATTTACAACTCGAACATATAAGGTGTTGGAAAATATGAGGCAAATAGAGTACGAATGGAGTTTTATTCACATCAGTTATCTAAATATGTATGATGACGATGTTCATGAATGCCGTCACAATATATGCATTAAACAAGTTAGTGTATTCTTTCCTATGTAAATATTAAGCTGGCTGAACGCATGTAGATACATCCCTATATATGCATGCACGGTCAGTCACCATTGGTCACACACAAAGACACACGTGCAAAGAGTGAGGTAGTGGCATTGTTGAAAATGAAACATAATCCATTCTTTAAATAGAAAGGTTCGGGTTAGGGTAGTGACTACAAATGCCACTTTTTCCCGTATGTACATATGCATGTAAAAGGGTTGAACTTATGTAGTCGGCCACATCTTTTGTTAGATAAAATTCTGACCAAAATTGAGGACCACGTTTCAGTATTAAAGACTCAAATACGTTGAGAGATACATTTCGATATTTAAAAGCATCCAAGACAACACCGTAATGAATGAAGTTGAGGTAGTTTTAAATTTTCCTTAAGTTTCAAAATGTTTTAAATTTTGGTCAAATAGTTTTTTTAGACCTAATTTATTATATCCAAGTTTCCATGATTCTACATTTTTTTGTAGATTTACAAACATGATCGTAACCTGAATTATTTTTTGGTCAAGTTTATTTTACAAAATTTGATATTTCCAGAAAGCTGATCCGCCCCCACTGCGTGACGCTCTCGACTGCACAATTTGCCTGGAGGCTCCAGCATCACCGATTAATCGGTGTCAAAATGGTCACATTGTTTGTGGCATCTGCGCAGGAAAAGTGGTACAATGTGGTCTTTGTAAAACCAGATTGCAAAAATCCATTTTGGCGGAACGGCTGTCACGACAGGTTAGCAAAATCAGTATGTAAATAAGCATTAGAAAATGTTACTAATTTATTTGAATTTTTTGTTAATCTAGCTGGAATTGAAACGCAATTGTCCCAATTCTGAGTCCGGTTGCGTTAATCCGATAGCCGCAGCAGATTTCAAGGACCACGTGGCGACCTGCTACTACAGGTAAACGGTGAAGAATCTTTAACCGATGTTTTCATATTGTTTCATTTATTACATGCAGATCAAGGTAATTAACGGTTTATTTTTTTAGAGACGTGACATGCTGCTTGAATGGGAACAACACACTCGAGAAGATCGCCATCAGCGATTATCCCGCGCATTTGCAAAAGATTCACAAGATTAAATTCACCGAAATTTCTGATGGAGAGTGGGCCACTGGAGAGTACCACTTTTTAATGGATGGTGACAAATTCGCAGGTATGTACATACATAAACTGTCTTTGATTTAAGTGCTTAATTAGCATATTGGAATAATTATGAATATACATATGTAGACTCTCGACAACGTGATATAAACATGATATTGAAGAAAGACAAGGCAATTTTCTTGATCCATTTTTGCAACGATGCTGACCAGTACAAATTTTGGGTGAGCTTACTTGCAGACGCAAAGGAAGCGAAGAAACACTCCATCAAGCTGAAAATAAGCAATCATATCGATGTCGAAACACAGGTACGCAGTGTACAAATAAATAAGTATGCATCCGTATTTCTAAGAGTGTGCTGTACATAAACTCTTAGAAATCAAGTGATAAAATTATAAACGATATTCATAAGACTCATAGGTAAATACTATCGAATTTTTATAACCGGTCACCTCATCTGCATATTTTGAAGCATTAGCGAGAGACATGCAGTTCACTGAAAGTATTCAACGTATAAAGCCCGTATCGATGATAATGGGCATAGTGAGACTTATGTAAATGAGATGACACGCCTAAATACGAGGACAGTGCATATATGTACATTTATGACTCTACTAATGTGTTATTGATAAGTAATATCCTTGAGCAAATCAGAGCTCGGTACCAAAGTTTGGCATATCTAAGTACCACATTTTTACCGACTAGTATAAATAATTTTAATCGCGAGTGGTAGTAATTTTAATACCAAGAAATCAGCATACCTGCATGACAATGGCAGATTTGTAATCCCGTAAAAATAGGTAGAAACCAAGGATTCTTAATTTACGGTGTTTGATTTATTATGCATTAGATTGGACTATCGTTCACCGTTCCTGCTCTGGCGTTCCACGATCTCGCAAAATTGGAGGACAGCCACTGCGCGGTGATCCCAGCATGTGCATTCGCAACGCCTGGGAGGGGAGATTCATTTCTGCATCGTTACGTGTCGTTAATTTTTAAATACACGATAATTTAATGCACTCTTACTTGACAATCTTAGTTGTACTCCGAAATTTTGTCTCATTATGGAAAATGTATAAAAACATTTCGTATGTAAATATGTACCAATAAGAAAAATCTGGCCAAAACTGGAAAAAACTATATGGCGCCGAAAATGGGGTACAGGTCTGTCAATATTGAGTCAAAATGTGTATGATTGTTCGCTCAAATAAACAACAAAAAATCCATTAATAAACAAATGCTGAGGAGCATTCATGTACATATGTATGACGTTAATACGTGGTAATAACTAGGGGTACTTTATACCGTATTTATTTATGGAATGTTTCATAACCAGACGTCGGATATGAATGACCGATAAAACCTCAAAATATGAATGAAAAATGACCGTACAAATCCCCAAAATATGACCATAAAAATGACTTCATTTTTTTAATTTTTGGCTTAATTTTTTGATATATTTTCTTGTAATGCTCAATTTTCATCAATTAAACAAGTTCTGGGGTGATTTAATTCATTCCAAATGAATTAAATCACCTAAGGCGAAAGTCAACGTAAATTTCTGAAAGTTTCTCACAATGAATCATTGTGAAAAAACTGAATTTTTTGTCATTTTCTGTTTAGTTGCCAAATCTTAGAATTTGGCCAACGATGATAAAATGAACGAAAAAACCCCGAAATATGATCGGGAATATGAATATGTCCCAAAACCCGAAAATATGACCAATATGAGAAAATATGCTTTGACCTACGTGACCTACTAGTGACCATAAACATTCTCAGAAAGTTTGGGGACTGTAGGGCAAGAAATGGAAAAAGTCATTTTTCATTCATATCCGACGTATGTTCATAACTGATTCTGCGAAGAAATTCAAAAACTAATAATCATACTTAATATAACTCCTCGTTGCTATAACCACCTTGTAATATTGGGCATAAAGCATTTGAGTAATTCTATTGTTTCCTATTTATTTATAATATTGGTAATTTACATGTGTGTAAGAAAATCAGTCACAAATTCAATAGCACCTTAAGACGCAAGAGGTCAAGTGAAGTTTCTAAAAATAAAAAGAAACCGTGTTTAAGAAACTATTTACCCTTGTGATTTCTGAGGAAAGGATCAAATACCGTGATCACCATTGTCATTTAACCCTTTCGTCCACAACCCAACCCTTTACTTTACACATTTCAGTCTCCGTTTTACCCTCCACTGAGAAAGGACTACTACCTGAACGATCCAACCACTCACAAAACCTTACATACCAGCAAATTTAATCCACAAAATTACACATAAAACTTAATTTAATTGAATTAAAATAATTAATTTAATTACCATGGAATCAGTATTTTCAAACGATCTGGTAAAAAACTACATAATTCTGAAGTTAATGTTCAATAGCAAATTTACACTCTTCTTGCATAATTTCAGATAATGGCAAAAATCGCGACTGATCTAACCCTCGCCGAGTTGAAACGGGTTCGCCTGCTCTTTTCTGGCGTTAGTTACATTGTGGCGCGGGAAATTGTTCGTAGATCGGTCGTAACGGTGCCCGTGTGGCGGGATGATGACGGCGGAGTCTGGATTGATAAGGAGGTGACGAGATGGCTGAATTCTGTGGTGGTCAAGCGTACGAGGATATATTTGAATAAAAATACCCCAGAAAACGTGCAAGGGATGAAGGCGGCAGAATTTTTAGAACAGGTTCGTTTCAAATTACATATGAAAAATTTTCATTTTGTGGTAATCACGTGTTTTTTGTTCGCAATGTTACACGTGGGTCTTTTAATGTTGACCTACATATTAATCTATATTACCCGATAAAAGAATAGAAGGTAGGATACCTAATAATAATAAACCGTAGTAACGTTAGAAGTAGCTCACCCTGTCATAATGATTTCCATATAACTTTCCACCAATGGTACGGAATAAGGCGACAAAATAGATTATAACTCTCATAGATTATTGCACCAATGGTGTAATATAAACGAAGAAAAACGAAAATAGTTTGCACCACTAGTGGAACATTAGCGACCAACGGGATACATAATTTTGAAAACTTTGAAAAAATTGTATGGTTCCTTATCCCGACATTCTGCATCATTGGTGCGTATGGCATCCCTTTCCCAATTATTTATTATAAAATTTATATATTTTAGCGTCAATGGTGCAGAAAAATCGAACAAATAGAACAGATTTTTTGGGGGAAATAGATGGTCCAATTGTTACGCCTCATTGATTTTTGGGGGTAAATAAAGGGCCCAATTGTTACGCATCATTTTTAATAACCAATTGCTCGGTACTAATGGTGCTACTTATTCCATAATTATAGTCCTATCTCGATGTACTTGCACAATTAATTCACACCATTTACGCCACGGATTATTCGATAGCAATGGTGCGCCTAACTTATCCAATAATGGTCAAGGGGATTTTTAAATAGCATCAATTGATGCAAAAAACTCGTTAACAGACGGACAGACAGACGGACAGACAGACGGACAGACAGACGGACAGACAGACGGACAGACAGACGGACAGACAGACAGACATACGGACAAGAGGAATTCAATAGCTCTCATGCTACGCAGGGTGAGCTAATAATACATAAGTATGTATAAAGTATGTATCTATGGGGCAATTTATGCATATGAGCAAAAAATGTTGCATAATTTCCAGGTTGCATTTTTCATACATTGTCACACAGTTTAATCAGGAATTTGTCCAATGTAAATCAGCACCTTCGTATAATGCATCATTATTCCGTTATGTTGAGACATTTCACGCAGTCATTTGTAACCTCGTTAAATTCGTCAGATACATAAGTTTAAATACAAACTATTATAAAATATTTCTACTAAAAATTAGCTTATAAATTTTTATAAGTTTTACTAGGATCAAGGGCTTCTTTTAATTTGATAAACGCTTGTAAAAATATTTTGACGGCTTTACAAAGTTACCAAGGACTGCGTGAATTGCCTCATTAATCTTTAACAGAACATTTACATATCTTTGATGCCATGGTCACACAAGTATGAAACACTTTCTCAGCAATAATTTTGCAGTGTTTTATAAATTTTTCATTTCCAAAAAATGGTGCCACCTAAATACTCGACAATTTGTATTTTATTTTATCTCATTTCGTAAGGTACATATTTACATACATATTCGCAACAAAAGCTTATACGTACATATTTAAATCAACTTGTAACACTATGATGTTCTATAAAAAACATTCAAGCACTTGAGCAGCGTGATGTTTGTAATTCTTTCTAGGAAATTTACAAAATTTTAAAGATTTCAAAAATTCTTTCAACTAATTCTAAACAGGCAAGAGACGATTTAATCGAACTGGAACTGAAGGCAAGGTTCCTCCCCTCCAAACGAGTTGCAATTGAGCCCCTGGAATTCCCGCGCATGCCGTCTCTAAAAGTTTTCATAAACAAGGCTATCGAAATTTTCCAAGTTGAACGTTTCCTAAATCCAACCAATTTTCCAAAAGTGGAAACCGTTCTACTCCGTGCGACAAAAACATGTTCGAACAGTTTGAACGAACATCTTTCTACGTTAAACGTCCCAATGCCGGCAGTTTCGCGACTCCATCTTTACGGAATAACTGACTACAGCCTGCTTTCAAAAATTCCCCAACTATTTGAGAACGTGAAGGAATTTCGGATTATAACTGGTCCACGAAAAGGGTCCTATTTTCGCCCGGAAATCGGCTTACCTCAGTTGTTTTTGTCTTTCCGGAAATTTAGAGAATTGGAGACTTTAAGGGTCACTCTTCGTGAAAAATGCAGCTTCGGCTGTGCGATCGCTGTACTCGACTCACTTTCAGTAGCGGGTAAGAACATTAAATGGTTGTAAGCTTACAATTTAGCGAATTAGGTATGTATACTAAAAAATAAAGAAAGGCTCAAAACTTGCTTAATCGACAAATTAGGAAATTTCAAAGAAATATAGATTTACATATTTTATGAGATTGGCACAGTTCGATAGACTATCAGTATGCACTGATATTTTTGAAGAAGCGTAAATTTTGCTAGTTCTCTTAAACTAAATACGCATATTTTAATATTTCTAAAAATAATTCTTATTTCACGTAGATTTATGTTTTGCAAACTTTTGGTGCATACATATTTGCTCCAAGTAGTAATTCACGCGAAAATTAAAGCGAAGCTAATAATTGTTAATTTATTTTTATAATTGCTAATTGCGAGGGTAAAAATGTAAATCCAAAAAGTGTAAATTCATACTTTGAAAAATTATATATTGCCACCAAAGGTTTTTAAAATAATGCTATCCTTTTGAATAGTAAATGCACTCTACATACATAGATTCTATATTAAATAAACTATGCTTAATTCAGAGTAAATTTTACTCTTTATTAAGGTAGCATTACTCTAGATTTAGTAGCTATAATTTACCTAATTTAGAATTAAGGGTGGACATATTTACTTTTCGAAGGGGTAACATGATTTTATGAGTGTACTAATTGAAATGTCACATTTTTACTTAGATCTGACGCGGGTGGCCATTACACCAAAAGACTTGCACCTTGGGATCGTTTTTCACATTCGCGACGTACACTCCAATCCTCCTTCAGCCAGAATTTCCAGCCAGAAAACGGTCTGGCTCGGATTCGACGTTACTGCCCAGTCGGCCGATAAGCGAGTAAAATTCTTTAGTGGTATCAGATAGTTGTATTGTAAATGTGCAGTGGAATTATTTGTGCTAGTAGATTCATTTACATATTTTGACGCATTAGAATTTATGCAATATGGAAATCCTGCATCTTCGTAAATGGGCAAAGTGAGATTTATGCAAATTTAGTGACACGTACAAATAATTCTACTGTATTGTGACGATGTTAATATAGTCTTCCTAACAATAATTACGATAGTTTACTTAAATTCGCGTATCCAACGTACTACGGAGTTCTTTACTTGATAATTGCATAATTAAATCTAGAGCTGAACCAGCCCAACCGTTTCACAAACGCAGTTTCCATTATTTAGCGAAAGGCAGAGTGAGACTCGGATTCTGGTGGGTATCCACCACCACCACCGCTGACTGTCGTTGCCAGTGCCGTATGGTGGTCCGTCTCACTTCTCACTCTCTTCAAATTGTTTACCGGGATTATGAACCAACTCGTGTTGAGATGCTTTTCATCTCTTACACGAGTTGGTTCAGTTGATAAATCGTTGAGCTTAAGTTTTAAATTTGGGGCGAATTGGACAAACTAAATTTGCTTATCTTAAAAACTGATAAGCGCAGTGATAAGCCCGATAGCGTTTATTTTCGAGTGGATACTACCATTATATATTCAGATAAGCTTAAGTTTTAAATTTGGGGAGATTTGGACAAACTAAATTTGCTTATCTTAAAAACTGATAAGCGCAGTGATAAGCCCGATAGCGTTAATTTTCGAATGCATATCATCATTATAAATTCAGAAAAGCTTAAGTTTTAAGTTTGGGGCGATTTGGATAAACTAAATTTGCTTATCTGAAAAATTGATAACTTCGTTGATAAGCCTCATAGCGTTAATTTTCGAATGCATATCATCATTATAAATTCAGAAAAGCTTAAGTTTTAAATTTGGGGCGATTTGAGGCTGTTTTAATAGCTTCTATGTAATTACCTTCATGTATATCATAAATACCTATACATTGTTACGGCTCCTCCCGTATAAGCCCCTCCCTCAGAAACTTTGACCCCAAAAAAGTCATGGTAGCGGTCATTTCGCAGCGGACAACAAAAGCGGAAAATGTGGCACTTCTGACGAAGAAAAATCTGGCATCAATTTGTCAGCCGCGAAATGACCGCTAAGGTCACTTTTTTAACGATTTATATGTAGGTCGAAAAACCGCCAATTTTCGAATTTTGAAAGTCTTGATGCATCAAAATGTTCATATTCATGAGGGAAGTCAAATGTCAAATGCAAGTTGGTATCTACTTCTTTCTGTACCGAGTGTACATTGACCTTCTCATTTTTCCCAATTTTCTTCCCCAATTTTTGAAGGGGGTGTGGTTGAATATAATTCAAAAACAGCTATGCTATATTAATCCCCCCACCCAAAACTGAATTTGTAATTTTTTATGTGCAATTTGGTGAAATCGATGCGAAAAAGACTTGCACTTTTGGCTCATTTTGTACCTCTACAAATAATTTTCAGTTAAGTTCTGAATTAGATTGTCGCTGTTAGGAAGTAGCCAGGAAAAGTGGTGTTATTTACACGTTCATTTTTTTGTTGGACATTAAGAGGACACAATGTGGATATGTAGCAGGAGAGAGCTAGATACGACTTTGCAGAATTTCTGGGGGAGATAGTCCCCCTGTCTCCCAGCCATGTAAACTTCCTGTGTAAACTTCTGCCACAAAAATCACTAACATGTCTATACAGATATGAAATGAGGCTTACGTTAAGATTTCTACCTTAACATTGTGTGAACCCAATGATAGCTTTCTCCAAGCTAAATATATGTCAATTTTTGTATCTATGCAATTGAAATGTAAATAATAGAATATTCTTATTATATACATACGTGAGTATTATAATGAAATGAAAAACATGTATTAAGCATTTACTAATTCGGTTCGTAATTTGGGTGTTTATAATAAATGAAATTCTTACTTCATTGGCATTGTTATATTAAATTTGGAAAGCTGACTTGAGTGTAACAATTTTGACTGCCGAGAATATCAGGTATATAACAAAGTTTAAATTTTAGTTTTTACTAATTTTTAAACAATATACATACATAGGCAAGAGGCTTAACTAATTTATTAACCCGATTACACGAAAGAAATATGAATAAAATTATATCATTAATTGTTATCAAAGTATTATTATCTTAGATTAGGTAAAAGTAATTAAGCAGATTATTTTTTTTAGTCATTTGTCGAACTACAGTATGCAACAAAGTAGGATTTTTTCTCAAGTTCGAATTGAATTTTCTCAAGAACAGGTTCGAAATTCTTTTTATAATATTCATCATTTATTAAGAATATATTTATGTAACTACATTGTGGCAAATTTTCAAAAAAATGAGATAAAATTCCTAAAACTATTTACAAATATTGTGAATTGGGCGTGACATACTTAAGTATCGCTGCGGGCGTTTACGTCTTACTAGTCAATCTGTAGTAAGCTGATACATAATTCACAAATTAACAAATTAACGAGCTCAGTAAGTTATTCATGTCGATCGAATGTGGGGACACCAACAAATCGCACTGATTGTGAGCTGTCCATGTTCAGCTTGAGACAGAGGTATTCAAAATTGTACAATTAATTTTCCATCACGCATATTCTGTTTAATTTAGCATTTTAAAAGTCGCACTGTGCAACTCTTAAATCACTGGATAACTGGAAATATAATCATTTTTCAAGCGATAATAATTTTTTGCGTGTGTACCCTATTAAAACTAATGTTACCCTTTTGAAACGTAAGTGCATATATAAATATGTAGATAATTCTAAATTATAGGTAAACTATTTTAAATCTATTGTTGTATCGTTTACTTTATAAAAAACATGGTTTACTCTGTGTGCGAAAACTTAATTAAAAAGTGAAGCATAATTTTTAAGAGTGCATGGACTCATAAACGTTACACTACATATTTTATGCTCTATGCAAGTAAAGTACATATCTTGATCATCTGCCGAGGCCGAGTTGGTTCTAAAATTATAAAGTTTTTCGTTTAACAGAAATTTATTGAATTTTGGTGTCAGCTGGTTTGCTAGCTGCTACTCGGTTCTTACACCGGTCTATCAAGAAATTTTACGCCCAGAGAAGCAACAACTTTTTAAAGCTTTCACGGCTCCTTTACCACACCGAGACGGCGTTGACTTGGAACATGTCCCACTATTCCTCGAAGTTGGACCTGGACCAGGTAAACCGACACAAATGAGTTCAAAATATGTACACTATTAAAAGTAATGTTACCCTTTTGAAAAATCTGTGCATTCTCAATTCAAAATTTAAAAAACGATATTAAGTCCCGATTAAATTTCACTGTTTATCAAGTTACCCTGGTTTTAGTGCAGTTAACTTAATAGTCAGAGTCCATTCACCTTTCCTATAGGAAACATTATTTATTTTTAAAAGTGCAATTTTTAAATTCATTATAAATGCGTATATTGATGTTTTGTTTCTTCCAGGAACGAATTTTGAGTACTACCCCACCACCCTTTGCAACCTTATCGTGATCGATCCTAATCTGAAATTTTAATCAAACTTTATGCAAAATCTTAAAAAAATATCCGCACATTAATCTTGTTAAATATTATGAAACTGGGATTGCATGAGTCTCTAGCCTTGTGAAGGATAACAACATTTCTGTGGTCATTGGGACAGATGTCGGATGCAGTGAGTCGGACGTGAAGGAATATTATGACAACGTGTTCAGGGTTTTACGGCCGGTAATATATTTTATTTATTTAAAACTTCAAATGCACTCTAACAAATTCGTGAAAAATTTACGCAAGGGCAAGTGATCTGTAGGAAGTCTCAACAATTGGGCAAAATTTATTCAAGGTGCCAAATTTCCTAGATTAGATAAATTGCTCTTTATCCTCCTACTTCTCAATCTTGAGTAATTTTGTACAAGTTTATTTAGAAGTTACCTTAACAAGACTTGCAGCTCCTTCAAAATTTCCATGAAGAATATCTATGAATATCTCCAAACATTTCAGGGCGGCAAATTTTTTTGAAAATTTCGAAACATACAGCAGTCACTGGAGGCCAGGTGTGGACTGTAAGGAGGATGAAATAATTTTGACATTTCTTGGCTTAAAATGTCAACCCTTCGAAAGTTTGGAGATTTTACTGAAAATTCCTCGTGAGCGTTTTCGTTAGCAACGTGATTTTTCTTCTCGTCTTTTCTCTCCAACAGCTTGGCTTAATTTTTCAAAATTGCAGTGTAACAGGCACCAGGTATCGCGGTTTTCGTAGCCGAAGCGTCTAGAAAGTCCCTAAACCAGTGGCTAAAGCCGTCATAGCAATTTCTGTTCCCGGTTTACTCCTTTGTGGGTGGGTGCTTCCACTGTTTGTTGTTTCTTCTAATTTCAAGGTCATAACAATGAACCTAGGTTCATTACCCAGTGAGTAAATTCAAAAAGTACATGTTTCCGTTTTGAAGGTCTAGATCTACGTATCAAACCTGGGCTAAATTTTATCGGTTTTGTCCGTTTCGCTGTTTTTGATTACATCAGACGATCTCCTCGACTCGGCCGTGACCGTGAATTTTTAAGTAATGAGATCTGAGATACATATGAGTTTATCTTTCACTCCAACAGAAAAAGCTGGGCAAAATGACCCCCCTTCAAGGCGAGGCCGATTAATTCCCCCCCCCTCGTAGCTGACGCTACTTAAAAAAGGAAGGTGAAATGCCTCAAATTGAAATACTAATGTCATTGTATATGGATTAAACCGTTTCTAATGTAAATATGAATCGAAATCCATGTAGTAAACTCTACATGGATTTCGCTGAAATACAACCAGCATTGCAGTGTGTTTGTAGAACGTGAATATCACTTTTATCACTTATATCTTTTTGTAGATTGCATTATGTAATTGGTACTTTATTTCGAATTTCGTTAAAGATTACAAGAAGGAGAAAACAATTAGATTGTGTAATTTTCTATAAGTTGTATAGTTTCTTTAAATTCAATAATTTTTGTCCTGACCAGTAAGTTTAGGGAATGAGTGGATATGTCGCCAAGTACTGACTAATTCCGCAATCGACGTTACCATATTGACCTGCCCAGACGTAAGCAAACCCACTGTCTCCCCATCCTGTGCCCCAAGAGTTTTTAACAATCCAGTATTGTTTGCCGGTAGCATCAGCCCCATACCTTCAAGTATAACCTATGAGTTAATTTTAACAATTTGGTAAAGTTTGTGTTATATGTACTTTTACCCAACGAGCAAAACCGCATGGTCCATTCTTCTACCAGCCGGACACGAAATGTAACCCGTAGAGTAGAGTGGATCTCATGGTTGACCAGAAACAGCAATTACCAACTGGTGGAAATCAAATAATTTTTTCTGTTGTCTAGACCTCTTGACTTTATGTATTAAGATATGCTTCTGACCGGTCCATGAGCAAACAGATAAGATTTAATAGTGTCGTCAGCCGCAGGCATTGTCAATTGCTGAAACCCGGAGACTTGTTGCACCACTGGAGCATTACCGCCTTTACACGTTCCAGCGGCATTACAACAACCAGATGTGTACGGATATGCAGAATCTGCTTTACTACCCCCATTATATTGTAACCATTGGAATGTATTTGTCGGCCAACCTCCCGCGCAACCATGGTCCCACGCTGTAGCATAGAAATGCCAATTAAAATTAACCACGACAAAGTTTTACTCACTTACAATCGCAATCCACCAATTGCTGTTCACTTAAGAGGACCGAAGTACCACCAGCCATTAAAACTTGGCTTTCTACGGCGGCGAGCTAAATAAATGATAAGAGATTAAAACATATCATTTTAGGAAATGCAAACATTGTAGCTATGGTTATTTACACAAGCAAACGCCCAGCAGCTGCCACAGTTTTCTGTTACATAAATTAAATAAATCACTTTAACTGCCGAAAAATTTGCCGTATAACTATGCCGCATATCACTGCGGATGGACCAACTTTGCACCAAGTCCACGCACGCAGTTGTCGGGATACGTAGATACATATTAATAATGATGTGTATGTCGACTAATATACACGCACTAGGTTTCCGTAAGTGCAAATGTACAATCGTGCATTGGATTAAAGTTCTATAAAATTTCCTGTCCGCCCAAAACTTTAAGCATTTTTCTACCAATTTTACCAAATTTCACCGAATTTATCAATTCAAAATAACCTGTTTTGCATTTGATAACCTATAAAAGATATTTGGCTACCCACTAATTAAATGGTTAATATATAAATAAATTATTTATCTACTTACGTTGATTTCTGACATCAGAAACCAAATTCATCAGTCTATAATCAAGCTCTGGTGGTGACAGGCCCCTTGCGTAGCGGTCGTGAGATACCGATCGGCTGGAATGATTTTGTCGTAACTCTGGTCTCAGACCGTGATGGGTTTGATGAAAATCTTCGGGGTCCTCGTCCGGAAATTCGTTGATCGCTGAATGGATAACGCTTAAATAACGCGCAAAGAAAAATGAACTACTTAAGAAAATTATGTACAAATAGTGCAATTAGGTACCTAGTTTGTATTGGACTTCCCCCTTTTCAAATTTTTTATTATGTGCGTCAACCCGCGCCACATTTTTGTCGAATTTTGCTTGTGCTTTTGCTTCTGCTTGCGCAGATTTATATTCCTTTTTATGTTGCTTCTATATTTTTTTAAAATTCAAAATACGCATAGAAAAAAAAATTAAGAATATTTGATTTTATTATTTAAATGTGACCCTAATTTATTTCCTGATACCTTGAAAGCTACCCAGTCCGGCTTATCGGCGAGTGAAATGGCAGATAAGACTACCACCACGAGAAAAATTGTTAAAGCGCTGAACCTTGCCATTGTTATTTAGTAGATTCGTCAGATACTCTTTTTTCAATGAGAAATGTGAGTGATAAGATTGCTTTTTATATAGAAAATGCAGACACAAATTGTCACAAAATGACATTTTTGCTAGTGTTGCATCCCGAAAATTTGGAAGCTCAATAAGTTCAAACGAAGTATGGAATTGCGGTCGATGTGGGCAATTACATAAATAATTACAAATCACCCATAAATTACGATTGCATAAATTGTTTTTAAGTACGTAATATGGATTACTCATGCTCACCTCGTGTTACACAAGTTTTTTGCAATTTGCGGTTCCTTATATTCTCATATTGTGTAAATCCAAACATGTAATTTTAGGATCATTGTTCTACTAATACATAACTCGGCAGACATGTCATTTTCGCCATGTTGGGTTGTGCAAGTCACCTGTGTTATCCCTTGTATCAAGACAACCTAACGAGAAGTTGGATAAGTGAAACACGGATGTAATGAGCACGTTGTGGAAATATAATTATCTAATTTACTTATATAATAGTTATATTTCATCTTAGGTCTTACATAAATACATCCGGGTCTCAGTGCTCCGCCTTTTTGAGTCTGTGGGATTGCATAAGCAGACGTAATTTTTGCATAATTTTTACGTAATTTGATTGATTGGAACGAATTTGGGTACACAAAAGGTCGAAGCGGAGGTGGGTTCTACAAAATTAAAATATTTGTGTCACAATGACTCATGCGACATCCGTTGGCATAAACCTAAAATCAATTAATCAAGTTGACACGAGGCGAACCAATAGACAAACTTAGAGGTTTCAATATTATTAAACAGATATCATGCATATTATGTATAACAACAATTTATATCATTGAATTCAAAATTTCTAAAAATTTGAATTTTTTGATGGATTATATTTTAGACGTCTGAAAGGACAATTCAGCGATACGAATTTTGTAGTTCTAGCCCGAAGCAGGGCTAAATAAGTAGATGTGTCATTTACTTATGCAGATTAACATTAGTGTTACGGTACACATTTTGCACATATTACTAAATAGGTTTCTCATAATAATAATTTCCATGTATAGTGTTACATATGTATGTATCTTATGGATTATGATTATTTTTCAAATTTAGATTTGTTGGGGAATTGAATATGTATTTAATTGAATTTCGAAAACAATTAGTGATTTTTAACAGTGCAAGCTACCTTCTGACAACTAAATGTAAGTTGGGAACTTACAGATTAAATATGTGCCAAAAAAATTAGCAAAAAAACCTGTTGGCTTCCACGACCATGTTCTGCGTTAAGTTAAACACGTATTCACATCACATACAGACAAATATTCCAAGCTTGCTCATTTGTGCATTAAACCTAGTGCAGGTAAGCATGGCTTGAATTTTTATACATGGAAACTTGTTCCCCACTTTTTTTTCGAGAGTTAAACAACTTGACGATCACCTTGAATTTGACCCTCCCTGACCATGAACAATGTCCCATTCGATTGCCTCAGACATACTTCTGTAAATAATTTAGTTTAGTAAAAATTTTACTCCGGCTCAGTACGTCTCCGTGTAGCTCTGCCTTGCGTAAATATATGTAAAATTGCTGGTCTGAATTCAGATTAAGCTTAATCTTAATTCTCAATAACCTACGTGAGATTAGCAGATATTTAGAAAATAAACGAATTAACCACCTCATTAGGTTATACATACATATTCATCGAATATGGAGATACCAGCAAGTTCAAATGAACGGTCCATATTCAACTTGAGACAAAGGTACATACCTATGCCAAATTGTTAAATTTATTTAACATCATGAGTATTTATTTTAGAAATTTCAAATCATTTTGCACTTGCAACTTAAAGATTATATGACAAAATTATTTTAACTTGCAAATTTTCAAGTTCAAATAATTTTGTTTGTATGTATATCCTAATAAAAATAATGTTATCCTTTTGAAACGTAACTATGTGCACGCAATCATAGATCATGTAAAGTATACTAAATCAAAGGTATCGTTAATTTGATAAAGAGCAAAGTTTACTCTGGAATTATGTAGTATTGACATATGGAATAGAGAGTGCCTTAGCTTTTCAAAAAAGCGTAACATTATTTTTAAGAGTGCATTGTCTCGTCAAGGTTAGAATACATATTTAGGTACATATTTGCTGCTCAATGTAATTAAAGTAATTTGCTCATCTGCCCAGGCCGATTTGATTCCAAAATTAATAACTTCCATATGTACCACGAAATTATTAAATTTCTTGTTTCAGATGGTTTGCTAGCTGCTTCTCCGTTCTTACACCGGTCTATCAAGGAATGTTGGGGCAAGAGAAGCAAAAACTTTTCGAAGATTTTAGGACTTCATTCCCCCACCGGGACGACGACGGTCTGGAGAATGTCCCACTCTTCCTCGAAGTTGGACCGGGACCTGGTAAGCAGACCTGCATGCATTTAAAATATGTACACGTTGAAAAATAGTTTTACCCTTTTGAAAAGTCAGGGCACCTTCAATTCTATGTAAATTCAGTAAATGATACCGAATCCACATTAAGCTTTACACTTTGTCAAGACAACGTTACCTTGAATTTAGCACAGTATTAAGTATATAAATAATTTCATTTATCTCTTATATGCAAAAGAGTAACATTATTCTTAAGAGTGCACTTTTTCGTCATTGTATTATTATAAAAACGTATATATGTTTTGTTGCTTCTAGGAACGAATTTCAAGTATTATCCGACCAGCCCTTGCAACCTTATCGTGATCGATCCTAACCTCAAATTTAAACCACAAGTTATGGAAAATCTGAAAAAATTTCCACACATTAATCTCATTGGGTTTTATGAAACTGGGATTGAAGGAGTTTCCCGCTTTGTGAAGGATAACAGCGTTTCTATCGTCATTGGAACCGATGTTGGATGCAGTGTTCCAGACGTGAAGGCGTATTACGACAACGTGTTGAAGGTTTTACGGCCGGTAATAGATCTTCTTTAATTAAAACCCCAAAACCTGTAAAATTTTCCACGACATTAGATAAATTGTACCTAATTGTTATTTCAACCTCCTGTTTCTCAGTCTTGAGTCAATTTTGCACAAGATTATTTAGAGTTTGCTCTTATCTACAAGACTTGCAGTTTTTTAAAAATTGCCTATAAAAATATCTATGTATAACTTTCAGGGTGGCAAATTTTACTACATAGAGCACATTAGGGCGGAAGAAGGATCCATGCTGCGTTTCAAGCAGCGGGTGTTCAAAAAGTGGTGGGAGTTCCATGGGTGCGGCTGCCAACTCGATCGCGATTTGGACAAGCAAATCAAGACTGCGGGATTCTCAGGGGTTGATCAGACCACGTTTTATCTTGACATGTCTCAAATTTCGTGGTATTACAAAACCTTCGTATTTGGCATTGTTCCCAGACACGTCAGAGGGATCGCGACAAAATGAACGATTTTAAGACGTGTTAGATGATTAAACTTTTAATGTGGTATCAATATGCTTAAATTATACACTCTTAGAAACTTGGTATAGAAAAAAACGTAACAGTATTGATATGTGACTCTACTGCCTTGGTATTAAACGGTTATACCGTATTGGTATAAAACCGGTATTGCAATTATACCTCATGGTAATAATTTTAATACTAATTCGTATTACATTTTTTACCACGTAGTATTAATTCAATACCGGATCAATACCACGCGGTAGAGTCGCGTAGAAATACCAGCGGTTATTGATTTTTTTAAGAGTGTATGTTAAACCTTACTTCAGATTAGGTTGAACAAATACCTTCACTTATCACAAAAAATGAAATTGTAGAAATTGTGAAATTGTTGAACTCGTAGTGAAACCGTCAATTTAATGTCGTTCAAATTGATATTGACATAAAAGGACTTATAAATTTAACGTGGATTATTATAGGAACTTGTGTACGAATAATCGCTTATAATACCTTCATTCAAAAAATTAGTGACGGATGGGAACTTTTACTCGGGCTAAACAAACGCTGCACATTTTGCAAATAGTAATATATTTCTGTTTTGTTTACGGTTAAAGTCAATACATGTACATATCCATTCAACAAAATCAAAATATGAACAACTGAAATTAAATTCAGAATCTGTGATACAGATGCGGTAAAAAGTTCACGCTGTAAACAAAAACTTGTGCGCAGTTACGCATCTCCATATTTAAGAATTAACACTGAGAATTATAGACGTCAACCCTGGGTCGAGGAGGCACACGCTGTACGGTCAGCATCATCACCACTGTCCATCAAAGACCATGAGGACGAGGACGTATCGGATGTCGTCCAAGCCGCCAGGGAATGTTCGGAAAGGCTGCGTCGCAAGTGGGCCCCGTAGGCGAGGGAGACTTCCTCCCAGTTTACGGTGTCATCTCGTACAGGCGTTCCGACGTGAATGGGGACAACTATTTGCAAATTGACAAATTTAGCAACCGTAACCTGAAAACAGTTAATATTCGGTGACATTTGTAATGTAGCACAATTACGGTTAATGACTTGATCTTTCAAACTATTTCTTGACAACTTACAATGGAGGTGTCCCAGTCCATGCCCTCAGATTTTTATCTAATCAATTGTGTCAATCGTTCACTTACAATGCAAGTCTTCTACGTGTACAACTCAGATCTGGTTGGGACCAATTTTATTTTGTTCACCGCAAAAAATAAGCATTCCCGTATTTTTTCGTTTTTCATAATGCGCTAATTTGAGCGCGTGGCGCGAATTTTAAAACATTTTTCAGCCAAAACCTCGGTTTTTAAAAACTCTGTAAATTTTCAAATTTTAGCGTGAATCCAAAAATTCGAAAACATGTCTCTTCAGAATGACTTACCTGACTTATGAAAAATCCAATTGTCTCGAAATTTGAATTTCAGAATTTTTTGCCAGTTTTTGAAATTAATTGAAATTATAAACTCTTTCAAATTTTTAATTTTTCAAAAAATAATGCATGTGTATTTTTCATAAGTCAGGTAGGTCATTCTGAAGAGACATGTTTTCGAATTTTTGGATTCGCGCAAAAATTTGAAAATTTACAGAGTTTTAAAAACCGAGGTTTTGGCTGAAAAATGTTTTAAAATTCGCCCCACGCGCTCAAATTAGCGCATTATGAAAAACGAAAAAATACGGGTATGCTTATTTTTTGTGGTGAACAAAATAAAATTGGTCCTAACCAAATCTGAGTTGTACACGTAAAAGACTTGCATTGTTAGTTCAATTAGTTAACAAACAATTTCGAACATTGTCGCTATCCATTTACAAAGACATGATCTCTTAAGGGGCATATTGAACAGAGATACTTGAATCCAAAGAGGAGAAAACACGCCTACACTCTGACATATTTTGCACTTTCAAGCTTTCTTCACATTTTCACCTCTTCGAATGTAAATTTCTCCGCCGGACGTAAGCATTGACAGATCGTTTTTCTTTCGAATTCCATTTCAACTAAATTTGTAATCGGTTGACACTATGGTCAGCATCTGAGTGCATGCGCTGGGAGACCTCCATTATTAGTGGCAAATGAATTAAGCAAAATGTATGTATGTATCTGCGTTACAGTCCATGGTCTTACAATTATGCAATACGTCAATTTGATGAGATTGCACCCAGCGGCCCCCAAATTTGAGGGAGGGCTGTGTGGAACTTTGAAATTGCATGCCCATGAAATTACCCGCTTTGGGCCGGGTGGAATTAATGGTCCTTCCTCTTGTTGAAGTACTACAATTTCTTGGTCCTGCATCTGTTTCGAGAATAGCTAAATAGAAAGGTGAAAGTTAAAATGTAAGAAATAGCAGAATATCTGTGTATGTATGAACATAATTATGGAGAAATTTAAAATTTTGTTTTGAAATTGACCGAGAATTGCAATTTTTCGAAAATTTTATAAATTCGCCATTTGCAAGGTCCCATGAGTTATAGGAGAAAATTTCATGGAAGTGTAAATTAAGGAATACATTTTTTTACAAAGTATAAACCTAGCCGAACACGAAGTTGCTTACCTTTGTGCAACCGAAAGCATAGCTGACGTTCTAAAAAATACAAATAAAAAGTTTGAGAAAACCTCTGTATTCTAGAAATTATCTCAATTATGGTATCAAATTATCACCTGTTGGAACACCATTTTCACCGAACCCAACGGAAGTCTTAACCCGTTCTCGATAAGGACCGAAAAAGATATCATGTCTCCAGGAGACGCGCAACTCTTGGCCAGAGAAACAGATAATTTTGCCAACCCTCCGGATTTTGATGTAAACACCTGTATATTATTAAATTAAATTAGTTACGAAATTAATTGCGCTAGGTTTTTGTGAATTTTCTGAACACGTTTTTACAAATTAATTCTAAATTTATAAATTTATAAATTATAATTGCATTTATAAATTCTGCACAAATAGCTGCATATTCATGCAAGGGTTCTTTTTGCGTTTTGATTAGTTTTTTTTTCTTTGTAGTTAGGGGTCATCCACAAATTTTGTACAGGAATACTAGATGTCTATGAAGGTGAAATAGAGCTTAAGCTGAAAAAATTTCAGCGTTACTGTTTTACACGTACATACATTCGTAAATGTACTTGTAGAGAACAGATTAGTTATTCAGGTTGAGATTCTTGCGTACGTACGTACGTAATTTATAGGCGGTCCCCTAAAAACCGTTTATGGATTTATATGTCGTAACCTAGTTTGATGAGAATGTGCCTGTATTTTTTGAATAAAGGAAAATCATTCATGTTGCAAACAAAACTGTACATTTGGAGCAAATTTCCTGAATTTATAAATTTGCAATAAACAATTTCTAAGTACCTTTGTTTCATTAGACGGGACGCTGAATTCGTCTGGCTTTGCGTTGACCAGTCCTATGATCACGATTTCACGGAGACATAGTGCCGACTCCTTTAAGTAGAGAGGGCTGTTCGGTCTGCCGTAGATGACGAGACGGTACACCGTGTACCCCAACCCACCGATAAAGGTTGACCACAGCGTTTCCGGCAGGTCCACTTCAAATGGGATTTCAACCTGGCTTCCCTTAGGAATGGATGTAAATTCATCTGTAACAGACAAATAAGAAATTCGCCAGGTCAGGGTTGAATTTAAAGACTGTAAATCCGTTTAGGGAAATTAAATATACTGTAAAATCAATGAGCGGGGTAAAAACACGATTAAAAATAATGTTAACTTTAAAGGTTATTTTTAAGATTTGCATAAACATAATCGATGGAATTTTAGCAAAATTAGTTCTCAAAATTTTTGCAACTCATTTGTTCGTATGCAAAGAAGTTGGTATTTTACTTATTTCTAGTTTTTTTCCACATTTAAAAATTTCATAAATGGGACCTCTGGTCAATTAAAATTGTCAGCACTGTTTCATAACTTATTTAACTTGCCTTCTTTTGTCAGCTTAGTTTGCGAATAAATCCTCAAAAAGTTGCAGGCATAGTCGAATGCGTGTCTCTTATTTTCCACGTATGGACGGTAATTACCAGACTGACGTACAACCCCGGTGAGCAAAACGTTGAAATCTGCAAGAAAGAATGACGCAAATTTTTAGACAGTGCACTTAAATAATTCGAATTAAAAGATTTGCATTTTCTCACCGTAAATACGTACACTCTTCTCGACCTGTTCGAACACTAGGGAACCTCTTATCTTCTCTCCAGCCGAGAATATCAATGACGGTCGCTCGAAATCGATGGATTTTAAAGGGTTAAACATGGCTTATGTTACGAGTACCTATTGGCTAACTATTTTGATGTGAAATTAGCAAAAGTGTTAGTTTATGACTGCCAGCTGCTACTTACTTACATAGATTTCACCGTGAATGAGAATGTGTGGAAGTATTAGTATGATGCAGGTCGGGTCGTGTTAAAACGGGTAAGTTGCATGCGGGTCGATAAATATTCCGGGTAGGGGATTTACTTGTAAATAAGTACATGTACATGTACACTCTTAGGCAATTGGTATTGAATCATTTCAAATTATTATCGTACGGAGTCCATATATGACTCTACCGGCATCGGTAATATCGATCGTTACGGCGCAGTAATGTTGTGGTAATGAAATCGCTACCACTTAGAATTAAACTATAACCAATCCGGTAAGAAATTATTACCAAATCAATACCAGTACGCAGTACATATGTGACTCCACATGAGTCACATATCTAAAGAAACATGCATGAATATTCCAATAATTCCTACATACTTATGTGCATAAGTAAATATATCCGAACGAAAAGATGACAGAATTCTCAAGAATGAATGGGCATAGCACTTGGACAATTTTTTACGTTAGAAATTTAAATTTTTGTCTTTCCTGTGGTACGAGAATAAAATTTGAGCTTTATCCTATAACCTTCCTTGTTGATTAGTACATATGAAATAAACATGAAGTTGCTCTGCAAATTGAAATGTTTACACGTGTAAATGTTTAACTGAGAAATATTTATTGCTCGAGGAAACAAAATAGTCTAATGTCATGTACAATTTATATACGCAAATATTTAGCACAGTTGGGTAATTACAAATTTTTACTAGTTAGAGTGATAACACATAGTTCTAAATAACTTGTATAAAGTGTGAATACGTACTTAAATAGTATGAATCCATAGTTTTAGGTACACACGACGATATTAGCCTCTATTACAATGAATACTCTATACCAATATGTCTAGGAAATCAAATGATGATAGACTAAAGTACGCTTTTAATTTTCCCTACTGACAGGAATTTGCCAAGACAAGATTAAATTACCTGGAGTAGGTGACGCGAAATGAAAGAACTTTTCGTAAAATGACAGAAAACGGGTTTAATCCAATATACAAAAATCGATTCGAAAGATCTCTTCTTATATTCCACGAAATTAGAATTTCATAATACATTGATACACTTACTTATTTACATGCAAATGATGTAAATATTGTGTGATCATAAAAAAATAACACAGGGCTTAACCATAGAGACATTAATGTGCATCTTATGTATTATATATTCGTATGTACATAGTGGGGTCATAAGTTCTCGTGAATGCATTTCCGGTAATAAATCCCAAAGTATTAGAGCTGTCTGTTCGAAATTTTTATGGATTAACAAGGTATTAATATTGTTTAGAAATCATAACTTATTTGTCAAGATTTCGTCCACGGGCAATTAGACAAGACATAACTCGTGACGGCCACAGGTTGATCGTGGTACGCGCCAATTTTCGTGCAAAAAGTATTTCAGACTTTTCACCGTTGGCAAAAAATTTAATAGAAAAAAAGGCCAGATATTTGTTGTACAGAAGTCTGACATCCGTTTAAGTATGCGGAAGTCAATACGAAGTCATCACCGTGGTGTGAATGGGAGCAAGTTGGCTGGAGAAATGAAATCTCTGTTTTTTACCGCAAAGGGTACAAGTTGAAGCCAAGAATTATTTTCAGAGTGTCCTAAAGCCAAACGTTAATAACCTGAACCCTGGACCCTCCGAAAATCGACATTGGACCTTTCAACAAGACCCTGTTCCTGCGCAAGGTGCAAAATTGTCCAAAACTGGCTTCAGACGAATTTTCATGACTTTTTTTCATCCGTAGAACGGTGCTCAGTATCTGCAGACCTTAATCCCCTAAATTATGACTGGTGGTGAAAATTATAGGTACAAGTATGCTCTAAATTTCACCCAAGTGTGGAAGGGCTGAGGTCGCACTTACTGAAGATCTGGCGCTTTTCCCTGGAAATCCGTGCGTGCCGCGATCGAGCAGTTTTCGCCACGACTTATGTCTTGTGTACAAGCCCATGGAGGAAATTGTGAAAACGAAGTTATGATTTCTAAACAAGATTAATACCTTGTTCATCCACAAAAATTTCTATCAGATAGCTCTAATACTTTGGGCTTTATCACCGGAAATGCATTCACGGGAACTTATGGTCGGACTATGTATACTAAAGTATATGTAGGCATCCAATAAGAACAATCTCCATACTGTTACATATCGTATGGACTTTGATTATCATTTACTGATAAATGGGGCTTTTCTTTTACACCCCGCCTGCAATGCTTGCAGCTACGTCATGGTCCTATGCAGACATCACATGTTGTGTTTTCATCCGACCATTTTTGGGTCTTATAATGATTCCAAAATTATTTGCATATATTATCGTGAATTTTAGTGTGCAAATTCTTGGTCCTTGTTAAAAAGTGCGTTCTACCGTAATGGATGCTACATAATGATCTGTCTGCAGGGCCATCACGTGACTGCAAGCATTGCAGGCGGGGTGTAAAAGAAAAGCCCCATTTATCAGTAAATTAAGGTTGATTACGGAATTGACGGTTTAATCAAATTTCGAAAACAATTAGTAAAATTAAGGTTATTCAGATTTCGAGTTCGAATAGTTACATGGCTCGTAAGTGGATATACAGATGAACGTACATACAGTGTATACAGATGGACGTCGGAATTAATCCATTCAAGAGAAATCAACTCCATGTTAAATAATAATATGCAAACGTAGTACGACTGGAAATTAAAAAAACTCAGATTTTGTGAAATCACATATGTACAAGGGAAAACTTGTCGACGTATATTAAGCAGTATACCTGCAGTATCGATAACCAATTGCAAATAATGTATTACCTATATTGCATGGACATAAGGACGAAGGACTTTATTTCCACAATGGCAGATATTGGAGCAGAAGTCGTCATTATTTACGTAATTATACATATAGGTATACCATCTTTCTGGCTTAATAAATTAAATACAGTGCCAATATAAATATGAGACGTATCTTGTTGCCGGTTATTTTAGAAAATCCTAAAATTATCCGTACCTCAATAACGATAACGGACGATGCAGATATTCATACTTCGGCGTACGACTTGTCTTTACATAAATACCTAAACGACAAATTTGTCGTTTTACGTAAAGTGCGTTACCTTTCTCTTAAGTTACCATAACTCGACGTAAATTTGCCAATGAATTTCTCTGCATAGAAATATTATTTCCCTCTTCGAATAATTCGCGTGGCCAGGCCACGGTGGCCTATATGAAATTCTCAATGACCGGATCAATAAAAATCCACCAAAACCAAATTGTGTACTATCCTATCGAATGTAATATTATGTTTTGCTTATCAAAACGATTAAAATAAGTCTTGCTCCATCGGCTCGAAAACACAACACCACGTTCTGCCTGTCAATCAAGAAGGACATTCTGTAACTCAATTTCTACCATTGTTTTGCTAGATCCGGACGTGCTACCAGGTATGGGCCGTAGTAGGTTATGCCTTAAGGGCTGAGGAATTGACCACTGGTGTTATAAAATCCTTGAGTCTTATGGCCTATTAATATAACATGGAGCAGCATATTTATGGGGAATAGTGAATTGTATACAGTTCAATTCAATATACTAAAACCCTTACAACTTCAATCGTTTCAAGGGTATAGTTCATCGTGAAATGCATAAGTAATCTATGCAATGTTATAATTTTTTTATACTGATTGTTTTAGGAATCAGCGACAACATATACATATGGGTAGTTAAACGTTGTGATTCTTTAGTACCATAAAAATAACAACGGCTAGCTAAAGTCCACCAAATAAGGACTGCATTGTGGGAACAACGGTCCAGATCCGCCAATTACGTATGCACGCATAAATTTAAATTGTGACTCATTAATACCTTAAGGTATCGAACCTGCACTAATTGTAAATAAGTCGAGAGATATCATATGTACTATAGAGTA